GTCTACTGTGCACGTGTGTTTGTGTATATACCGTCGGCTTCGTACATTAATAGTATGGCAAGTGTAGATAGAAAAAAAAACAGTTTTCGTGCCTATAAAACCCTGGCGCTCATTACCCATTCAAGAATAACGGTGGTGGGTACGCGCGCGCGTTTACTAACCACCGACCAGACGCAGTGGTTCCCAAATAATTGGCAATCCCCGTTGTTAAACGGGTGCGGTTTTCTTCGGCGTAACCTATTATGAAGAAAATCTTACGTTACGGTCTTGACCTTGTCGAACACACGATTTTCACCGCGTTGTGTTTCCTTTCTCTCGGCGAGTATTTCCACTGTCGCCCGGTTACGCAACCCGATCCGATGCGCTTAATTTTTTTTTGCTTCTCTCTCTTCTACCCAACGCGCTTTTCGTGAAATATATTACATTATAATCGGTCACTCGCAACAATCATCCACGATGCTGTTACAGCAACGGCAGCCGGTGTATATCTAACGGGGGAGAATGAAAAAATAACCGTCGGTTTTTTGACAATACTGCCTCAGCATTTCGCTTGGACTGCAACACCGATATTAATAATATCATCATAGCGTATTCGACAGTTACTGTAGAGTTGATTATTATCATGAGGATGACGATGGTAGTTATTCAGATGTATTGCTTGGCCAGGGCGAGTCACAGGGTATTCTCACGGTCCCCCGGTAGGCGAACTGTCGTACTGTGTGTTTTCATACTTCACACTCTCATACTGCCCAGGTAATAATTAGTGAACTCATTAGTGAAACGGTAACAATAAAGAAACGATCCGTTCGACCGACTGCAATCTTGTATTGTTCGCATCGTCTATTCATAGTCTGTCAGTGGTGTTTATCATATAATTAAGATGGGGGTGCTTATAAAGGATAAATTTCCGAAAGTTCGATAAGGTTCCGATATAACGGTATCATACGGGGCCATACGGTTATGGTCACGGCAGTCGGTAGTTCAGAAGAGGCCTAAGGAGTTAGTAAAAACTAGCTACTATTCGTGAAACATTGAGTAAGGAACCTGGAACGCCGGTAGGGACTTTTTACCGCATCGTTTTCCTTCCACACTCCCCCCCCCCCCGACTAACCTCCCGTCCACCCGGTGCCGCCGTCAACGTCTATTCTGAAATCAAGTCGTCATTCGAATACCTCGACAAAAAAATATATTTATACTCATTTACAATTCGTTTGTTTTTCTATTTTAGAGCAGTCTATTAAAAATTCGTTTGAGTAGTGTTTTTCGTATCTTCGACGACACTATCCCTGTATCGGTTGACGGAGGATGCGGTAAGCGCAGACCTTTGGGTTAGTATATAGATTTAGTTGATGGTTTGAAAGGACGGACTGTGGCGAGCTGGAATTCGTAATGGAGGAAAAAAAGAATATCGTCTGAGTCGAGAGAGCTATCGAAATAATAATTGTTTTTTTCCTCCTTGTACATTTATAAATATATATTGTGTGCGTGTAAAAGCACGCGCGCTGGAATTGCTGCCAAAGTTTCATCGTACATAAATAATTTTAACGGTCGCATACACACACACACACACGCGCGCTTACGGTCCGCGAGAAGACTATTTTTAAAAACACCCAAACACCGGCGCTGCTACTGCTTCTATATAGCCACAGTGGCATGCCACCGCCTTCTTCTCAATCACAAGTACACTCATTTATATAGACAACACGGCCAAACTGCAAAGGACGTTTTAAATGCACAAATACCTGACGTTCACTGGCGAAATTGTTCAGTATAGTAAAAACCCGTGTTCAATTTTTTAATCGTGACGACGATATTATTATTATTCGTTCAAGAAACAACGCTATGTCACACCCGGTAGTAGAAACATATATTTAACAGTATCCATTATAAATAATATACACGTTATATAATAAATATAGCTGTATTATTTTTTTAATCTTTTTTTTTTATAAGGCGAGGCGGAAAAAAGGGCAGTGCGGTTTGCCAAGCAGCCTCAGGGCTTTCAACCTCGACGGCTCGCGAGTCTGCCGTGGCCTCGATCACACCCCGCCGTTGCTTTCTTTTCTTCTACACAAACACTGCCGTCTCGTTTTATTCTTCTCGAACACTTACACCACACATACTTGTAAACGCATACCCATTGCTGACTTCCTTGTAATAATCCCTTCGCAACGTCACCGGTGAAAATGTAGACTTGGATTGTAAACACTTTACTCGACGAAACAAACAACAAGAAGGTACACAACATTGCATTGTTTTTGTATAAAGTGAGGAGTACATAAAAAGAACAAAGTAGTTGTTGCAGTGATTCGTTGCTGTATTTAAAAAGATACCAAATACTAACGACGGTGTCATTTTAGAGTACAATTTACTCATGCTACTTACTTATATTACTAATATTTTAATGTAATAAATAAATGTTATGAAAACTAATGATAATGGAGATCATTTCTAATTGACCTATGTAGTAATACGAAAATAGGGGTATAGGGTATTCTTGTATTGCATACTTAATGAAACGAATATCCTATCAAGAGTACTATAAATCATACCTTTTCTTAAATTAGGTACCTTACGTGCAAAATATTTCGACGGACTGCCGGACTATTAACACAAAACGACAATCGTGTACGGTGTAGACATAAGGGAAAAGCATATCGTAGTAAAATCAAACAAATATTTGATTTTCAGTTTACAACAAAACAAAATATTTTGTACAAAACAATTAAAAAATAAATTTTCAAATATAAAAAATTAGACAACATAGAATTCTTCATTGAAATTTTAAAAACTAGGATCGAACAGGGCAAAAATGTTTATTATTATTTTATAATTTAAATGATTTAACTCAAATTTAAAAAATTATATTTCCATAAACAACGCATTTACATTTGCATTTACTTGTACAACTCAGGTTACTCCCATTTGATCCTACTAAAAAAGCAAAAACCGACTACAGTAAAATGTCCCACGTATTATAATACGTGGGACATTATTATAATATTATAATTATATAGCATAAAATCAGTAGATACAAGTTAACGTTTCCTAAATAAAATCATTTAAATTCAGTATAATATCATAAAGATAACTGAAGAAATACTAATTAAAGAGTTCACAAATTAATTAAAAGGTTTTGAAATCGTCTATGGATTTTTCCAGATTTCCAAGTACACATCATAAACCGTAAATCGTATAATGCTTAGATATAAGAGAGGTGTGGTTTTATCCAAATAGTACCAGACTACGTGCGAAAAAGTAGAACCTCATAAATACACATCACGACCCTGACCCTAGACTGATTAGGAACGATGACATTGCAGAGGTTACCACAATAAATTATAAAAATTATGTAGTATTTCTAATTTCAATGCCTCGGTAACTATTGTACGAAAGTAACCATCATAAATTAAAAGTTCGTCGTTCGACTTAAGTCCTGCTACAGTTTTTATTTTACACTTTTTTTTAGTGAGTATGTATCAATTCGACACGTTTGATAAATGATAATATTTAAATGTTCATCTGTAGACTTGACCAAAATTGTATAACGACCATCATAATCGGGACGGGCTGCTCCCAAAAACAATAACAATTGTTGTTATTATGTTATAGGACCTGCTGGCCGTGTCTGACCCTGTGTAAATATTTATAATACATCAACGATTCGAGATTTTCACAGTGTATATATTAATATATCTTCAGTGAACGCATAACACGAATATTAATTAACGTAATCGAAAAGCGTTAAACGATTTGTAATTATCAAACGTTATTTTTGACACGATAATAATTTATAATTTAGTATTATTATTGTTATTATTATTATTATTGTCTTGTGCTCGAGTCTCGACTAGAAAGATAAGACCACCATATAACACAATCACGTGGTACTCGAGTGTCGTGAACATTAAAATGATAAAACATAACTTGAACATTATTCGTGGTAAGGCAAGCAGGCAACTACGAAACTAAAATGAAAATACTTTGTACCCATACGAATACAGTAACACCGCACACCTCTTCCTAATTATACTATTACCTATACTGTAATAATTCGGTTTTATTTACAAAATAATACAAACAAATGTTATTCCTACACATTAAAAAAACTTCTTATTATTTATACAATTTTTATTAAAATATTTTCGGTTTTAAATTTTTAAAGGCAAACAAGATAATTCTATTAACTTTCGACATTTTTTTAAATGCGAACAAGATAGTTTCCGAACCCATAAACTGTAGTCGTAAATAATTTGGTTCAGTGCTCCCGGGATATCGTGCAATAAAAACCAAGTATCATAATTGTAAAACCAACGTGTAACTATTTTGTGCTATTTTACCTAAAAGCTTTATCTTCAGCTTACTGGACGATACCTACACTCTAAAAATCCTGACTGTGCCATGGTGAATTGCCCATCGCTCGTCTCCTCCCCCACCTATTAGCATTCGGTTTTATCATCCTGTGGAGCGCAATAACAAAATAATTGTGTTGCTCGAGTATACATTTAAATTTTTACATCACCCAGCTGGTACATTTTTCTAGACATTGCTGTGAAAACTGGCGGCAACACCTTAACCCTAAGACACGCCAACGGTGCCAGCCGGAATACATGGAACAACAGGGATAAGACGTAATATGCAGTACAATGTATGATCGACACAAATGAAAATCGTGCCGTAATTTTTAGTAGTTGATACGCGGCGAATGAAAAAAAAAATATGAAACGCGCTCATTCTATATTTTCCATCATCACCATCGGCCGCCGTTACCGTCGTCATTTTAATGTTAACACGCAAAACGTATCGGGCCTGGCGCGTTAAATATAGATCACCGGCCAAACGAACAAACGTCTGGACGCTGGTATCGCCAAAATCGTCAGACACCGGATAGTGATGGAGGAGGAGGGTGTCCATACTCGGCCGGTGGCGAGAAAAATTAATAAAAAAACGTTCGATTAAAAGTATCAGAAGTATTAGAAGGTATTAAAAGTTCGACTTACTTTAAGAAGTAAATCTGTCCCTCCGGAGTCCTGGCTTGTTCCCATCCTTGAGGCAGCGGACCCAGCTCATCGATGGCGCTGGACACGTCGTAGCTGTGCTGCTTGACGTGTTGTTGCTGTTGTTTCTGTTGAACGCCGACGGCGTAAGTCTGTTGCAGGGAAGCGGGCGAGCTGTGCGCGCGCGAGTGCAACGGCGCCGTAGTGGTGATGCAAGCGCCGGCAGCGGTAGTGCCAAAAGCCGAGTCGCCCGAGTTCTCTCGGCTGTGCGATATGGATGATATGGAAGGCGACTTGGAACCAGTGGACGGCGGGTTGAAGAACGACTTGGGCAGTTGGCGCATCCTCAAAGGCAGTTGGAGCGGTTTTTGGCCGTTGGGCTTGAGCACGGTGTCGAAAAGCGCTTGCAGGTCCGTCTCCGAGTCCTGGTCTACTCGGACGACTAAGTTGTTGTTGTTGTTTGCCGCGGCGGAAGTGGCCGGGCTCGCCGGAGCCGTCGGTTCCATCTTGATGTTGGGCTGCTGCTGATGTTCTTGTAGGCTGGACATGTTTTTCGTTTGTTTTGTGGCGCGTATCAACGGCGGGCACGCATCAAGGCGCGCCGTAAAGAAGCTACTACTACTCCGGACGGACGAGAAAACAAATAGACGCCTTTTTACCGATACGCTTTATCGACGTCTCACAGACTCACATAACCGAACGGGCCCGGACGAACCGAACACAAACGCGTTCACTCCAAAACTGGCAGGGCGCTGGCGCAACTAGTATCAGCAAGAGCTGCACGCACGCACCGCCGCGTATACGTCCACGGCAACGGTGCGGTGGGGACTCGACTCGGTAACTGTGCTCGTTCGGTCAGTGTAACCACATACCGGCGGTACGGTGCTCTCTGGCAGTGGCCAATGCGGTCGATTTTGGACACACTGCCACGTGAAACCGATGTGAGGAGAGTTACCCGCGTGTACAACTTTTTGGCCGCCCCTCCATATTGCTTGTGGGTTACAGGGGCTAAGAGAGGTCATTCATAAACGGCCAGTGGACTTCTTGTAATAATTGAACGAAGTACCTAGTACGATTCATTCGGTTAAATGTATAAATTACGTCATGCCACCTCGCTTTTTTTCCTCGTAGATCGTGTGCTCACTACACAGTCCGCGCCGTGCATTTCAGAAAGTCTATAAAACCGTTTATTTCACTACAATACGGCCAAACTCCCTACAATGACTAACAAGTGACACTTCTCACTTATCATTAGAGCCCCAAACGACAATTGAACTGGATTACAAATCGTTTTATACTAATATAAAATCGAGAAGTCTCCCTCAACTCCCCCCCCCCACCCCGAGCCGTATAATACTCGTAGGTATCAATTTAGTTATTTTTAAGTAATCCACCACAGAAAAACAAACGTATACAAATAATTTTAAAATCTAACAAAAGTATCTCTAGATCTCATTGTATATAGTTATGAAATGTATAATTTTAATAATAAATGTATAATAAAAAGGGGATTCCCTTTTGCGCTAAATATTATAATTTAGTACCCGACTAATATTATTTATATGAATTATAAATTGTCTATTATTGCGAAAATGGTATGCGTCATTGTATTTGTCATTCAGCTTGTGTGGAGTTGCGTGTTTTTCATTAAATATGAATCACGAAAGCTGAATTATTAATAAATTGCACAATAGTTACCAAAGGGTCGACATAATATATTATGATGATTTGTGTCAGGGGTGGATGAACAACTAAGTCGCTACCCGTGTTTAAGTGAAAGGCAAGGTATACATTATGCTTGTGAACCGATTCTGATAAATAGCTTTTTTTCGCATTTTAGATTTACTGGTACCTGTCAGTCTGCCCAGATGCGTGTTCTTCAATATTACTAAAATGTTTATTAGTAAAAAAATGATTTGTTCAAAACCAACATCCGATTTATCTACAATTTGAGACCAATACCTTATATCTTTTGTTGTAAAATCTGAGATTATCCTAGTTAATCGGTTTCAAATTTTACAGATAGAAAGGTTTAAGACTTGATAATTATAGTGAATTGACCGCACATATCGGCCACATACAGAAGTATAACGATGAATCAAACATTACATATGAATTATGATATATGGGAAAGAGACAGATCTATTTTGGGCAAAAGGATAAGATTGAAATTAAAAACACTTGCCCACTTAGCTCTGTCTCTCTCGCACATCTCTTGGCAAAATCTAGTATGATAATTTGGTTTCAATGCGCGGTCCATTTAATAAAATGTCTATGGTTTAAAGGCAACTTTAAGGGGCCTCGCGACTGTTATAAATTAGGGCGTAAATAGACCCTTGCCATTTTCATCATCCTATGTTCCCATGAAGTACGATTGCCATTCTGAAAAAAAGTTTTGAATTCCTTATCATCACTTCTGTGGTTTGAAATATCGGCTTTAAGTTGTTAATTAATTGACATGAATATGTCTTATGACTGGGGGCCATTCTGAAAATTTGTCCGCCATGTTTTGTGTCACAGTGCTGACATTATTATGGATTATGGAGTGATTATGGAGGCACTATGGAGGCCGGAGGAGTATGGAGAAGGATTATAGAGAGTCTTTCTGAAAATGAAGGTAAGAGTATCCACACTTCATGCAGATACATCAAGTTGCAGGATATATCGTAAGGATACGTATATTATATAGCCTTGTATATAATATATGTATACGAGTATATAAATATAACAACAAGATAACTGAGTAAACTCAGTATAAATAGATAATTATAATTTGTTATTTTCCAATATTTTAAAATAGTTACTTTTTTTTTTTCACAAAAAATATTTTAAAATGAAAACAAATAACAAGAAAAAGTAGTCGATACTACAAATCACCGAAGAGATGATGAGGATTAAAAACTTTTTCATAATGGAAATTAGACTTTAAGGGAACACAGGATAATGGATAATGGGAATCTACCAAAAAAAAAAAAAATTAGAGCTTGAATGAACTATCAAAATAAACCCGCCTTTCCTGTGAAAATACTTATGTTTACAAATTTTAGAATAAATATTAACTTTAGAGAAAAGTTGTCTATACAATGCCCCTTAATAAATCACAGTCGCGCAAGAATTATGCATTACGTTTTAATGTATACACTAAAATATATTTCAATAGTGCTCATTTCAAACCATTTTACTTAGCATAACAGTAAAAAATGAATTTAATTAATTGAAACCTTTAACGTCTACTTTATAAATATTATTAAATACATATTACCTACTTTCAAAGTGTATAACGCTCATAATGTTATATATTAAGCAAACGTTTCAATAAAAACATGAGTCACGACCCATTACAAAAGCAGTGAAAATAGAGATAACATTATTTTATCAATAGAATTGTTAGAAATAGACTATTATTATTGTTATGATCAGCCCAAATGTGTTTTCACTGATTGTGTTTTACGATAATACAAAATAAAATAAAAAAGTACACACAATCTCACTATATAGATGTTCATAAGAATATTAGCATTATCCGTTTATTCTCTGAAGTTACAGCTACTTAAAGTTTGAAATCTAAAAATTTGAAAAATTGTTAAAGGGGCTTTCCCGATTTTAATGAAGGAGTGTGAAGGAGTAAACTTTTTTTAACATTTGACCCCTTCTCAAATCAATCGTGTACGTTTTGTAATAAATAGAGATGCTAATCGAAGAAAGCAATACGATGAAAGTATTTTTCGAAGACCTGTTGACTAGTTGATTTACTCTCACAAAGCAACCAAGAAATTAACTAGGTACAATCGGTGTAACTTTCCTTGTATTTTTGGGGGAAAACTAAAACACTATTTAATCAGTTCATTTGGACAATCTGACAAACATACTAGTAAAAATTTAGGGAAAAATTTGAATCCGCATAGTCGCCATTGACACATCATTGTAAAAACAATATTTTCTTAGCTCCTCATCGAAGCTAAAACTATTAAATTGTTTGTGTATACGATTTCCGTGAAACTACACTTTTTTCCTTGGCTATATAACGTATAGGCAACCAAACGTTAATTTGTGTGTTTATTTATTAAACGTTACATAAAAAAAACAGAATTATAAGTGATGCGGTTCTAAAAAAAAATAAATATACACAAGTATTCCACTAAGAGAGATTTAACATCACCTAGGAGTTGAAATGTTTTCTAAATATTTCATTAAATTTCAGATTATACATATTTGGTTTTATGGAAAAAACATCATAAAATAATAAAAGCTTTACCATAACAACCATTTAGCTATTAAGTTAAAACATTTTGTTTTAGTAATGTTGGTTGGTTAGTTGATAACCAATCTTGAATAAATACAATGCAGTGGAGTACAGATGTCAGTTATAAAAAATATTTCGCTGCATCTCTTCTCCTAGAACTTTAACGTTTATTGCTTTCAAATGATTAATTTAAAATTAGTTATGAACAAGCCAGTCTTAATAATGACAATTTTCATTTTGTAGTCTTTAAACTTATCATTAATTTAGAAAACCGAATTTATTCATAAAAATTGATTAGCATAGAAAATAGACATTGCGTTTAATTTTCGAACGTCGTTGTATAAAATCCATGGCGATACTGTGTTTAAAGTAACAAAAAAAATTGTTATAGAATTGATCAATCTTAATACAAATTATCATATTATGTTTATTATAAAGTGATGTTTTAAATTAACAAAATTGACAGTTACATTACAGCAGAAAAAATACTCTCTCGAAAATATGTGTGGTTTAACTCAATGGACAACATTAATTTTAGCCATACTTATTCCATCGTACGCTTCTTACAAAATAATTGTAGAATCAACATACAAATCATACGAATGTGAAAGATTGCTCATGTTTTGGGTCGTTTTTGGAATATTCAAATCAGCCGAATGGATTACTGACCAGTAAAACAATTACATTTTTCTATGTAATATGCATAAATATTTCAGAATACTTACTTCATAAGAGATGTTTATCTTTTAGATACTTTTGGTGGTTTCCTTTTTATGATGAAATGAAGTTAATTGCATTACTTTGGTTTTATTACTTTGCCGGCGCGGAACATCTTTATCGACAAATCTTAGATCCGATATTCGAAGAAAATCACGACGTTCTACAACATGCGATGACATCGACCAATGACGCTTTCAAAGAATTTAAATAATTTCCAATTTTTTAACTTTTAATTTAAATTAAAAATAGGACACACATTTTTTATGATAAAATTTGCAATGCTTTATTTGACGTAAAATTAATTATATATAAAAAAAAATTAATTGGAAGTTTTTTTACGATATTTTTAAGATAACTTATATTGGTTTATTTGAAATAAAATATAGAGTATAGACGTGGAGTGTTATATTGTTTTAAAGTAAAACAATTGATTAGTAGTATAAAAGAATTACCACGCATAATATTTCCTACTTTATTTGTATACACTTACTTCAATAAACATTAGCCAAGCCGACAATGAAACTTTAGCACTTCATATTTACAGTTCTTCAGAAAAAATAGTGTTCGAGATATTTTCGCAATAAATTGGACGTATCGGCACCAAAAGTTGTTCAAATAATAATTTAATAATTAGGTTATTCATTAATTAAAGCTTTAATAGTTAAAAGACCGCATTTATTTCTTCATCCTACACACAAATTAATATTTTTTTTAAAAATGGGTAATAACTAAGAATATATTTTTTTGATAAAATTTATTTTTTCTTGAAAATAACATGTATATGCAACCAAAAGCTGAAAACGTAACAAAAATATTATTCACAGTTAAAAAAAATAAATATTTGTAATTAAAAGTGCAATTAAAATTATAATATGTTTTCACGAATTAGTATTAATAAAATATTATATATTTTAGCCAAAATCTCATATTATAACTAAGAATAATTTCATCAAGTAACTTTGGAAAAAAAAACAGGTTGACAGCAAAGTCGTCATTGCCGTAGTTTATCTTATTTGGTTAATAAAAAAAGAAAGTGAAAAACAATAATATTGATTATCTTGAGGAACAAAACAACACATACATAATAAGATATACAGAAATAAGGATTTAAAATAAAATTTCTCATTTTTCCTCTGAAGGTTTTACGTTTTTACTTCCATCAGTTGCTACAGAAGTCGCTTTGTTGGTACGCTTAGGTGGTTTCGGTGGTTCGGTAGACTCCTCTGGTGTTTCCGTTTCGGTAGACGTTTTTATGATTTCAGTAATTTGAATAGTTTCACTTGACGCCACTGGTGCTACTGAAGCTTCTGTTGATTCTACGTCACTGGTTGGTTCTACTGGTTTTGGCGGTTCTATAGTGGAATCAGCTGGTTTCGACGTTTCATTCGCAGGTTCAACGGATTTAGGCGATTCGGTTGCCGAGTCTATTGGCCTTGGCATCTCACTCGCTGGTTCTACTTCTTTTGGTGGTTCTGTCGTAGAGTCGGTTGGCTTAGGAAGCTCTTGGACTTGAGTAGCTGGCGTTGCAGGTGGTGTTGGCGAAGTAACCGTCGGTGTACCCGGCGTCGTTGTGGCCTGTTTCTCATCCGTGTTTAAGTCGAGTTTTTCTAATTGTTTGACGGGAGGCTCGACTTTTTGGACAAGTTCCGCTTCGTTGGGCGGAGTGGAGGTTGAAGTCTTTTTTAATGCTGATTTTAACGGTTTTTTTTCTTGTGAGAGTACAACTTCCGGAGGTGGTGGATTTATTGTTACAGTTGGTTCAACCTTAACTTCCGTTTTTTTTACTAGGTTATCATTTATTTTAGCCCATATATTTGAAAAACTGTCTTTTCCCAAGTAATCCACGTTTCCGTGTTCCCAAGACTGGCGTCGGAGGAAATCCTCCACAGCTTTTTGATCTGCTGATTTTTCACCAAGTGATAATGTAGCGAATTGAGCAGCCAAACCTCCCTAAAAGTATATCATACAAATACAATAATATATTTTAGTATTTATTTACGAGCAAAAACAAGTAATTGTGTACACGTTTTACATTAACTCTAAAATCACAAAAAATAAATTAAGTATATTCAATTTTCAGCTTCGATGCGGAACTGAAAAGATATTTTTTTTTATAATATGATGTATTCTAATTTTTTTATTTTTATATCTGGACCGATACTATAGGTCCAGAAATTAGGGAGCAAGTTATAGTAACTTTTTTTTTAAAATACTCATTGTCAGATTAGTTCCAAATTTGTATAAAATCTTATTACATTAGATAAAGTTCTATCGATAAACGTTGATAAAACAAAAATAACATAAAATCTTTCCCCTGGGAGGGATGAAATTTTTAATGAACAAAGTTTTAAACACTTATGTTCTGAAAATTTGACTAATTAGGTCTGTAACGTATAAAATATTATCAAGTCTATCTTTAAGATTTTTGCTACGGTTCCAAACACAGGAAAATTGTTTTTCTAATCTCGCAATAGGGTAAGCTGTAAGACCATAATATATATTCTTGTCGAAAATACAATTGTATTAAAAAAATACTTAAATATTCAATTCTATGTCCGTCGATAGCGACTAAAGAGATTCGAATTTTTCCCTAAGCTTTTACCAGTATCTTCGATCATCTAGATGAGCTGATTTAAATTTAGCGGTGTTGAGGTGATAGGATATCATTTTGATGGGAATTTTATGTTCTTGCTATCTATTGAACCTAGACAATACGTTTGCAATTTGCACAATTTATGTGATTAGTGTAGCTCAACACGTGTTAAACATTTCTGCTCTCTATCTCAAAAATTACAGAAGTTATGACTATTTTTGCTGTTATTCGTCAAGCTTACCTTATGTGGTATACCTCCTTTTAACCTTTATAAGAAATTGTTCTTTGGATATGTTAGCATGGCAATCGACAGTATTTAAATAAAAGCTATGTGCCAATGCTATAACACGGTTTTTTTACTAAGGAAAACCCCCTCTGAAAAAAAGGAAAATATATCAGCCTATCAGATAATTTTTTTTTTTATTATTTATTAATAATTAACAGCGGCGACAAATTATTATAGATAGACGATGAACCCTAATTGTAACTACACAAAGTGTATATTTAATACTAAAAATACAATTTAAAGTAAATTACTGTCTTTACAATGATTTTTATCGATACCTATTTAATATTTGCACCATTTACAGATCGCATTCAAAGCGTTTTATTTGAGAGTGATTTTATTACCCGTAGTTACAATAATTCCTACAGTCCTGTGACGACACTGACCTAACCAATAACTAATGATCTGTTCACACCGAGATGCATTTTTAATAAGCATATGAGTTGCTGTTAATGAACTATTGAAAATAGGAAATAGGCGTGCGTACGGTGTAAGCAAGGTGTGTAGCAAAATACTATGTGGCTTCAAAAAAAAGGTCCATAACATCGTTTTAAAAGGGCTTAAATTATCCAAAGAGGGCTCTTGAATGTTTAATTTTGATTTATTGGATGTATTTTAATGAGAATACGTTTTTAAGGTACAGCTTTAATATTATCTCTCTTAGAACATTATAACTGACAAGAGTCAACGATTATTGGTATGGAGCCCATTTAAGTTGGCAGCGTTTTCTACGATTTAAGACAGTGCACGCATATTATATGAAACACAAATAAATACAGTTTACCAAATACGAAATTTTAAAAATATTATTACTTACATTATCTATGTCGTTCTCCTCGTCCTTAAGTACCTCGAATGGTTTTGGAGAATCAGGATAACTGTTATTTACAATCAAGCTGGAGTTATTGCAAAACGGAGGTTCATTAGAACATGCAGGACAGTTTTCATTATTTACTTGCCCTTGGAAGTCTCTAACATTTTCCCAACAATTTTCAACCTTTTTTTTTTCGTGTGTAATTATTACATTATTGTAACTATTACATTCTTCCACTATATGATTCTGAAAAATGTAGTCATCTGTTTGCTTTCGTAAGTCACAATTATTTCCACTACAGTTCTCTATATTATTTTCATTTTCTGTATGACATTCTATATATTTCTTAGCCACGTTTTCATCACTTTTATAATATTCCTCCTTAACCTCAATTTCATTATTTTGTTCATTGTCTACTAAATACTCCTCCCAAGGGTCGGTAAAGCTATAATGATCCTCTTGAGGAGGTTCGGAAATAGAATAGTTATTATTAGATTGGGAGTTGGGCGAGGATTGGTGGGAATAACAGCTACTGAGGCGACTTTCTATCTGTGTAAAAAGCAAAAAATAAAACAAAACGGTGCTAGTTATTTGTTTAAAACAGAACATCGTGAAAAAGAAACAATGTTAAAGATATAAAAAAAAATTAAAATAAGATTCACTTATAGCGCATGCAAAAAGCCACATGACAAACAAGTGAAAGACCGAAGCCCCAGCAGCAGTTATCAAGGATGAATGAAAAAAAAAAACAAACAAACAACGCGTAAAACACTTCAGCATTAAAACACTTTACTACATTTGTCAAACATTGACCTATTCAGCATTTCTCATAACAACTTTAGAAAATGTAAATGTTAGTTTAAGCAAAATGTTATTTAAATGAATGTGTGATATAGTTTATTCGACCAGACATGAAATTTGGTAATCTTGCAACAATTATATTTACATACCATTTGATTTGAAAGCACGGGATATACGTGCTTGCAAAACAAGTCCCACCAAAGTTGCAAGAGTGCTTGTAATCCGGCAGAACCCGAGGTTGATGTGACTATCCTTGTTTCTGTATCGAATTTTTGCAACCACGGCTTGCTAGAAGCTATGAAGTGAACGATTTTCATATTTTGACCAAATCTAGATACATTATTAAATGCAACACAATTAGTCATTATCTGCTAACTAAGTACCTAGATAATATACCTACTGTTTTAACGCTGGCAAATAAGAGTACGTGGACGACCATACAACATTATAGGTGAAAGACAAATGCTTTGAAATGTCTTTGTAAGCCCAGTCTTTGAAGAACATATTTAATAGTCCTTGGTCACCGCCTGAAAAAACATTATGAGTAATAGAATTTTACAAAATAAATTGATATTTTTAAACATGTACCGTCAAACGACCCTTTAGCTTTAGCAAATTCCAATAACTGATTGAATGTATTTTCGGAAGGTTTAAATACAAACACTCCAGAATTAAAACAATCTGGCCAACCCGGATCAGGTGCTGCTGATAACTCTTCCCGTTCAAATAATTCATCACAGTTTTGCAACACCTTAAAAAAACAAATTTCGTTTAACATACTTTACATCCAAGTTTTTGTACTTGTAAAACATCAATAATTAAGTAGTTTAATATGCACGTTAGGTTATTACACGGTTTTTACGTTTTTCCTAGGTCGTTTAATATTTAATTAACTAAAACAAAACCTGTCAATTATTATAAACATTTAAGTCATTGAGAGCAAAAATCGTGTAAGTCGTGAGAGTTTAAAAATTGAGAAACGAAGGTTGAAGTAGAAATACTGTATACGTTTTTACGAGAACGTTAAAGTTATTCTATCATTTAAAGGAAAACCAGAAAAGCAGGCTCTAACTACTTTCGCAGAGAAGTAGGTAGATCATTTTTACAACAGAACTGACCACAGACATTTTTTTTAAGTAGATCCAAAATATACTTCTATAGATCATATACCATAAGAAGATAGATGGCATAATGAATACGTTATTAGACATGATATAATATTTTGTTAACTATGTCCCAGTGAGCTATGTGTACATGTATATGAATATTATTCTCTGGCATGTTACAAACCTAACCATAGCTCTATTATGACTAGGCGTACTAGTGTAAGAATAAAACATATAACTTTGGCTATGCTATAAAGTTATAGAAGAAAAGTTGAAAACAATTCTGAAATTGATTGATATCAGTACTGGATAACTTTTTTAAATTTTTTATTTTCAGGTTATATTAAAATATTATTGTTTAGAAATTTAACATGGAATTTTTAAAAAAAAGAACGGGTTTGCAGAACATAATATAATAAAAAACAAACAATAACGCTCAGTAACACATGGTTGAATCAGATTAAATACAATTTAGTTTTGTTTAATCTGTGGTTGAATGCTATACATTTGAAGTAATTTAGATTATGTATATTCGTTATGCTACTTACATAGTCGCCTATAAATTCTCAACAAATTTTGAAACGCATCCAAAAAAAAAAAATGTCTCAAGTGCTTCGAATAAGCCGACAGTCTAAAAATACTTACAAACAACTGCGTTGTGTAAATATATATTTTCTTCACTACGCATAATATTTGGACCATCCTAACACAGTAACAGCATACAAAATATTCCGTTGTTTAGTATTCTTTTAGTGATAAATTTATTCGTCGCAAATTTTTTGCGCTTTTTTTTTTATACGATTAAATTTAGAACACGTGTGGAATGAGATAAGTCCTCCTCATTTTATGATTTATACTGATGTAACAAAGCCACGTTTGGAGGCCATAATATATTATAAACCTTATTGGTTTATAATATTGGCTATAATGTCACTCTATTTTAAATCATTTTGTTATTAAAACAAAAAAACCTACCGTTAATATAATAATAACCGGGTCTGCCTGTCTTATTTGTAAATTTTAAAAATTATATCTATATCTTAACAGAGAATAGAATCTAATAGGAAATATATTAATGTGTACCTTAGAACTAACCAAACGTAATTCCAAAATTAACGATTTTTTGGATCAGGTTAACACAGTTTCCAATGTAGAAAATGATTTTGCAATAAGCCATACCAACGGGATTCCGTTGAAAATTCTGCTTTAATAGTTTACTTAGGTTGTAAAAGCGTTAGACCTAACCTATGTAAGTTCGTTTCAGGTCTGCTTCTGAGGTACAGATATTAAATAACGTTACTCCAATAGCCCAATAGTATGTTAGTACAATATTTAGCTTACCAATGTATCTGCATCAAGGAACACGCATTTTTCGTAATTGATTAACGTCCAACAATGTAATTTGGTGAATGTGATACCAAGTTCTGGCCGACTCATTAACGCCAAATGAGTCTGATCTTTTGAATCTAAAACGTCTACTAATCGTACATCGTGAAATACTGCTTCGATTTGTTCTCTGTTAAAATTAAATAACGAAAATAATGGTAAACTAAATCACAAATGTATTTAATTTAGACACTCCAAATATACTTCATTGTCGCTGTAACTCCTGGCGTAATTAAAATAGTTAAATTATGTATTGTGCCGACATTTTTCAAAGAATGGGCGAGCACTAAAGCTCCCAAGGCATAAGAATCATTTGTAGCCAATGTTACCCATGATTTATCTGAAAACACATTCAATTTTTTATAAATATTACCTTTATGGAAAGAAATTAAATCATTAAATATTTATAAAAAAACTTTAAACCATAAAAAAAAATACACTTTAGCGTATACGCTTATTTGTATAACTGTAGCAATGCAATCGTCTTTAGCGCTCACAACAGTCTCAAGTCTGTTATGAAGTTTGGCTAGGAGGAACCATACCTAACTCACCATAACAACCTTTAAAATATTTTATTTATTAATTTTATTATTATTATTATTAGAACCAGCAGTGTTGATTAATTTTTTTCCTAGAACATTATCTTTAATCCAAAAATGCTTTAAATATACATTACCATGATTTACAGTGTTACCAGTATGAACTGAAATAAAGAATAGGTATAACCCAAATGGGTTATATATATTTTAGATACAAGATAACAATACTATGCATATTATAATGTATTATACACTTATAAGACGTTATAAGATGCAAGAGTAAACCGCAAAATGTATTTCTTTTAAGTAGTGTTCGTCATTTTAAATTTTAATCAATGAGAAATTGACAGAATAGATGTGTGATATGATTGTGAATAAAATAACTTACTAATTTTATTTATATCTTTAAGAGAGCAGGAGACTTTATTTAATATGTACAAAAAAATTGAGAGAGATAGAAGGTTTTCAAGGTTACAGAAGGAGGTTAACGGTTAAAGAAATTAAGGCTAAAAGTTCAAAACAGGTGTACTCGACCAAATCATTAGTTTACAATGTTATCAAAAACATTGAGGTAAAATTAAATCTCTACAAAGGCTATATTTAAAATAACAGTATTATATGGTTTATTATTTAGTAATTAATTGAATTATTACTTTATTAAACTCAATAAGTATAATGTTTTTTTGACAAAACAACAATTTAGTGATAAAAGTTAGGTTTATATATTTGTAAAAATCCATAACAACGATTAAGTAAACTAGTATGTACGTAGTATACGTTCATTTTTAAATTATAATTGAACTCAAAATTTTATACAACACACAAAAACAATGGCTGAAATCACACATTTAATTACTATTATTTTAACTATTATTTTACCAGCGTTTGCTACTTATGAAGCTATCTTGCATAACGATATGAAAGAACGTTCGAGGTTACTAATTTATTGGTCCGTGTATGGATTTTACACGATCATTGAATACTTTTTAGACTGGTACGTTTTTAAATAATTATTTTAAAGTATCAAGCATTTTTTAACATTATTTAATATTATGACATTTTTTCTTATGAATTTTGAATAATTTAAATGAGTAACATGCTTCATATTAGTTTCTATGCAGATCGTAGACATAATTGATTTTTGTATTGTCATGGGTTTAATGTTCTACAACTGTTTAGGGAGACTTCTTAGTTTTTCGTTATTTAAATTATAACGCTTTAATTGCACAGAAATTAGCTATATCCAATTAAGATTTTTTTACGATATTCTATTTGAATATAATAAAATTTACATAGTCTATGACTTGAAACCATATTATAGTTCTTTATGTATTTGATTAACAATTTAATATTGAAAATATATTCAAATTAATTTATTTGGCATTGTATTTTTGTTTTTACAGGATGGCTAAACATATGCCGCTCTACTATGAAATTAAACTTGCTATTTGCTTGTGGATATACTACTTATTAGGATCAGAACATCTGTATGCCATTATTCTTAAACCAATATTTAAAGAAAACTGCGTTTTCTTTGAAAGATTAACCAGTACATCTGATATGATACTTACAAACATGGGAAAAGTAATTAAAAAATTACAATAAATATGTATTGAAAAAAATTGACCACAAAATGAAGTTTATTTGAATACTATTAGTTATTCTGCTGAATTGTGTTCTTAATACAGGTATAGAATAACGTTTCATATTTTGCAAATAAAATTTTCAAAGTAATAGTTTAAATATTAATTAACTTAAATATTGTATACATTTTTAGAACAAATTTTAAGTAAAAAAAATAAATATAATACAAATTTGAAGTAATAATTGATTAATGATTTAAAAATTTGTATAATTAATTTAAGTTAAAAAAAAAATACATCAAAACATGTCCGAATTTTAGTAAGTTTAGCAATACATTTTCATATTTTTTGTTTTTTCTTTAAAATACCAAATTTATAGTAGTTTTAAATCATAACAAATAACTAACTGATAAAAAAAACATTATAATAATCCTGTTGCTCTGTTTTTTTTATACTGAACTATTGTGCAAGATACGAAATAATAACAGTGTTATTGTCATTTATATTATTTTTAATCATTATTAGTTAAAATGATCAATGGTAACACCGATATTTTAATTATGCCAATAGAAAGAATAACATCTAGCAATACGATTATAAAATGTAATAATAACTGTAAGTTATCTAGTTTATAGATCACAATATATTAGAAATGAAGCTCATAATTAGATAAGTACCTAGTACTTTTAGTATATTATTATTACGTATAAAATAACTTATAAAATTGTAAAAAATGTTGATAAATATATTTTTAATATTACAATTTTATCAACAATTTAGAAAATTAATTTTAGCTTACTATAGCAATTTTATTAATTAATTGTTTATCACTTATATTACAATTTTTTTTTATATGAAATATTTGTAGACGATAAACTGTAGGTATAAAATCACTCATCATGAAAATCATAAATTATTGGATAATTACTTTCAAACATCCCTAATTCTATGGAATAAAAAACTTTTTTAATAATAAAAATTTAAGTTTATTAAAATGTAAATACATATCCGCCCCGATAAAACAATGACACAACTGCAAAATTTGGTAAAATGGACTAAATGCTTCAATGTGTTTGGATACAGCGAACGCATAAGGTAGAAAAACGACTCAACTGTAGTTGTAATTTCCCAAGCATTCCTGTTTCATTAAAATAACATCTCATAACATTTTAGTGGAAATAATTTGGTTGTTTGGTTGTCCTATAAAATTTTAATTATTGGAGCTGTGTCACTGTTCTACCGGGGCGGCGATTAATGAATACAATTTAATGTGTTTGTGTAAAGATCTAATTAAGTCGAAAAATACAAATGAGTTGTAAAAAATCATTTAAGTATATACCTAAAGTTATTGTCACTTCTAGACATAAAACTAGACTCTTACATTACATTATTTTGTTTGATGTTACTTATAAGTTTGAAACAATTTTAATGAGAAACCCGTTGCAATTTTAAATTGTCTGATTTTTTCCTTATATTATTGCATATGATTGCAAAGCTCCAAACAAATCTTTTAAATATACACATACATAATATTAACAAATGAACATAGAAAATTATATAAATTTTGACAGGTGACTGGAGTATATTTTATTTTACAATATTATATAGTGATGTGATGTGTTTCATTATTATTATATCATTTTTTTTTTGTGTCTAGACTCAATAAAATGTATACCCGCTGTACAATGGCCAATTTTCTTCACAGACTTAAAATTCGATTAAAATTCACTTCAAAATCACCCATAAAAAAAAAAGGTATTTATTTTTCAAGATTTAAAATGTATAGACTCCAACTACAGTCAAAAGTAGTATTTTTAGTATTGTAAATATTATTTATTTTTTAAACAATGGATGCTATTTATTTGTGTTTCTTTTTTAGTGATTTGTAGAGATACTTAGTGATTTTAAGAAAATCTATTAATTGGTTTCAATAAGACGTTTAATTTAAAAAAAAGAATGTTTTCGTTCACTTGTTTTGAGGAGTTCATAGGTTTACTGTTTAGCATTAAATTTAACATAGTAATTATTCATATCTAAACTTATCATCAAAACTGAAGGCTCACGTACAAAAAAGTTCAACATGGGTTATCTGTTTTTTACTACAAAACATTTACGTTATTAATATTTGTACGAACACTAGAAATCCAAAAATAGAACTAAGATAACAATATTCAAAATAATATTAGATAACTATATCTATAGATATAACAAAGATAGATTTAAGTATGTTAGTCTAAACAGTGTTTTCCAACCTGTGGTTTGTGGACATTGAAAGTCCAAGAGCTTGTTATAGGTGATCCGTGGTGCACACGATTTTTTTTACATTTTCATAATTTTTTTTTTTAACTCAAAATTTAAAAAATAAATGAATTTCTAGTATTAACTACTATTATCGTAACCGACAATGATGGTCCGCGACTGATTGAAGTTATTCTGAGTCATGGGCGCCCGGAGGGGGGGGGGGAGATGAGGCATTTGCCCCTTCCCCCGGACTTCAAATATAATTTTGACAATATTTAATTTTTGTTATTGTTAAAAAAAAAAATGTCTTCTTTATCCAGCATTATTTATATAAATGAAAAAACAAAAGTACACTGAAAGCATAACAAATATTTATAATTTTTATAAAATTGAAATTTTCTTAGCTGAAAGTGAAAGTTGGTATAGTTTATGACAAAAAAAGACTGCCAAAGCATGCTCATTATAGATTTACTAGAACGTAGCAAAATATTTTTTCTCTGGCATTACAATTGCATTAGAAATTGTTCTATCTTTAATAGCTACAAGTTGTACAGCTGAAAGGTCATTTAGTACTTTACGAAGAGTTAAAACTTGGCTTCGATTTACGACGGGTAAAGCCCAATTAAATGGTGAGTGTTCATCGTGAAAAAGTTAATAGAAGAAAAGAAAAATGCATTGAACAGTTAATTACAAAGTTTGCAATAGAACAACAGCGAAGACTTCAGCTTTTATTTAATAACGAAGAAATAGTATATTAAATAAAATTCTGACATATTTTGTAGTTTGCAAAGAATAAACTTTTTTTTTATGTACATTTTGGTGTTTGATTTCATCAGTGGCGTATATAGGATATAATTTCGGGGGGGGGGGGGGAGGGTATAAAATAAGAATAGATTTAATAATTATTATAAATTAACTTTGATTAAATGAATTCGCACATGTGCCGTACCAACCACAAATTTCGGGGAGGGGGGTTTGAACCCCAAAAAGCCTCCCCTATATACGCCACTGGATTTCACTATGCCCCTCCCTGATAAATTTCCTGCGGGAGTCTATGTCCTGAGTGGTCCTTATTCTAGAAGGTTGAGAAAAACTGGTCTATAATATCTAAAATTTGTATTTTAATAAAAAAATAAATATCGTCTATCATAATATAAGTATTTTACATTGATAGGTATATCGAGTATAAAAATGTAACAAAAGGAAGTAATAATAGAAAACAGAAAGAGAACTGTTGTTCTCCAAGGATTAATAAGTCTTGTAAACACGATACTCTAGATTAGGTACATTTTATAACTAAAAATATTATATTTCAGCTAAAATGGTTTTTTGCGCATGGAATGTATTATATAAACTAAATTTTGCATTTATGCCAACTTTTTTTTTCAATGTTATACAATATGATCTCGCGGCTAGCAATTTACCAGTGATCTCCTAACCATGTAAAATGAAATTTATAAAATACTTGCATAACTATCGTGAGATAAAATAACCTTTAAAGGCTTAAAGTACGACGATAATCTTATATTATAGAGTTCCAGCATCGTTACGACAGATTTTGCGCTACATTTCCTACCATAATTCTAATCCAAATCCGAAAATAAACGTTAAGCTACCACAGTTCCACACTAGAATTGATCGTAAGTTAACCCTAATTATACCGTTTTAACAGGAAAAAAGTTAGTAAGAATAATAGTTTTGAAATTTGTATTGCAAAAAGATGTCAATTCAGCTCAATAAAGTAAATAAGGCCATGTATATGTATAGTGGAGACATGCTTATTGAAATTTTATGGAAAATAATAATAATAATCGTTATAAATCTTAATATAAATACATTTCAACGTATCAAATATTACATAGGTTGTTATTAAATATCAGTGGTTGTGTGGTAATTCCATTCTTAGTTAATACACGTACGATAATATTATTAGCATACTGTCTTTGAACCTAACCCGTTTAGTGCACGTTTCCAACGGTAACAAACGGGCCTTTTACTAAGTTACACATAGCACATTGGCATTGTCTTATTTTCATTTACAGTTTAAAAACATGGAAAAAAGTTACTTATTATAGATTCAATTTACTTTATCTATGCAATTATTGTTTAATAATTAGTTAACTGCTTCAAGGTCATCTCAAAAGACGACGTACAGTAAAAAAAAGACGAGGCACTTTAAACAAATATATTCTCTGTAAAACTGAATTTTCTTAGTTATTGTTTTCATATTTACTGTTCGAATTTTGTGTTAAACGTTTAAATGTTGGTTGATTACAGTTTTAAAACAAATTAGGCAACCTTTTTTGGCTGCTTCTAGAAGAAAAAAAAACTGGCGAATTTTTGTACATAGAACATTTTTCTAGATTGATGTGACACGCCTAGTAAACCTATTGACACTGTTTAGTTCGTTATCGTTTACTCAAACGAAATACCTGTTGGAAAAGTATAATGTCTGTAAAATTATTTTATATTAATTATCAAATATTTTTTTGTCATTAATTTATAAGGCCCACGATTTTGACAGGAGCGGACAGCGGTATAGAACTTAAAATGTATATTCAATCAGAAACGAGGTTTTCTTAGTACGTTATTAAGTACATACTACCACAATGCAAATTTTCATGATTTTGTTAAACATTAAACAAACAGTCGTATACACCATAGTTTTAAAAAAAAAATTTTAAAAATTGAGTTTATTATTTTTTTTATTTTATAAAAAATATTTTAGTATTGAAAAAAAAACTATGAATGCGCAAACCCAATTACACCACTATGATAAATGATAATCAATGATATTCAATCGCCAACAATGCATCATATAATAATATTATTATCTAGAACGACGCTTAGGAAGTACTTCTGCAGAATGGAAATATAGGTATTCCCTCGTAATGGTATTCGAAAATAGATAAAAAAGAAAAAAGCTTTACTATAAAGGTGCTTGCGTCGAAATGAAAAGCGTTTAGGTACTCACTTGACGTCATGTTGTGGTTTTTTCACTGGCGAACGTATCGCTTTTCAATACAGTCGCCGGACACCTAAACCGGCGGGTACAACTGCTGCACTGTCTGTGTGTGTGCTTAAGCGCGTTTAATTACAGTTATACCGTCACGTCGTCGGTATCCCGTTTGCGTGGTTAGAAAAAAAAAAAATTATATTTATACCCTGATGAGACCACGCAATGAGACCTACGGTATACGAGTATAGTGTGTGTACCGTCGAGCCGGTGTCGTGCGCGTTAAATTGAACAACGAAATGAGCATGAAAGAAGAAAAAGTATGCGGCCAAAGTGCACTACAGCACTAGAATGAAGACGGCGGCGTGTGAGTCCGCGCTCGCTGGTCGCTACTGCTGCACACTGGTCTCGGCGGTCTACGGCGTGGACTGTTGTGCGTGCGCCACTTATCATATTAATATTATTATTGTGTTCTACTAGAACTTAGACATTATGGACACATATTATTTATATCTTGCAATCACGGTACATTTATTACAATCACCTTGTGTGTAAATTTTATACCTATATAAATAAATTATGATAAATTATAACCAAAGACCCGGTTCGCGACTGTTGGACTTTACTGCACCGCCTGATAAGTTGCGATAACGAACTGACCGTTCCCGCCTGGACCGTGTCAGTTATCGGCTATTTTAATGGTTCGTGACCCGACACTATTGAATTATTAATATTGCACTCGTAAATGGTACACGTTTTGTGTATTTGGACCGAATATCGCCGTAGGTAGGGTAATAAGAATAGGGAACACCCAGAGTCCGGTCATGGTTAATAAGGAACATGGAACAAGAATCCTAATAAGTTAATAGTCCCTTCTAAAAGATATTAAAGCCCAGCTTTTTTATTTAATCTGGTGTTGATCATGACCGTAATCAGACCCCATGGGCATCACAATTTTGCCACCCGTCCCTCCTCAAAAAAATTATAACGTATATTATTGAGTAAAACGAAAATAAGCATACAATTGTTTTTTAAATAATTACTCTTCATGAACAAAAAAAATAATACAACTAAAATATCCCAAAAGCAATAGAATAGGTTTATAAAAATGATCAGTCATCCTTCATATTTACTTGGGGTATTATGACTTGTGAAAAAATTTATAATTTTTCTTGCTTTAGCTACAACATATTAATATGCTCTTTTCTCTGCCTTCGAAGAGCATTTTTCCTATTAACAGCTCTACTTAGTCAATTTCGTTTCATTTTATTTGTTTTTAAAACAGAGCACGTTATTTCATAGCATCACTTATTACACAAGTGACAAGTCATATCACGTCTTCATTTGTATAATTTAATAGCCTGCTGCTTAGTGCCTCGGTTAAAGAAATCTATTTTAATTAAATGTAGACTAATGACCAGATTGTTGCCTTAGTTCTAGAAAAATAAATTATTATATGAAATTTGCTGGTCCAGTTAACATTTTCCGCCCTTTCAAAAATTGCCGCTAGGGACAACACGAGGCCGTAGCTCCTCCTTCCCCCCTAAATTCGACTCTGGTGTTGATATGTAATCACAAAGTTTACAAATTAAGACAGTTATTAGGATAAACACTTTTTGAAACTTTTTATTTTCCATAGCGTTAAACTGTTTATTTCACTTGATGAAATTTAATTTCCATGCGATATTTCCGGTTGAATTCAGACCAAGGAATTATTTAAACGATTTTTTTCAATTTAAATATTTTTTCTATTAATGAAGAGTATCTTCAATCAAGTCAACCGCTGTCATTATACATCTAATCAACTTTAATAGTACTTATTGTAAAACATGTAAACATTTACAGATTGCGCAATATAACTAATAAAAAAAACCCATGTTAATTGCCAAAAACCTAATTTCAAAGTCACTATAAGATAAATAATGTAGGTACAGACAGAGTTGGGCATTTCTTATTTGAATAACGAAAAAAACTAATTTATTGGAATATTTTTTTTATTATTAAATATTAGAATTTTGGATATAATTTTTATTTATGTGATATTATTATGTTAAAATTTAACTTGCAGAGAAACTAGGGGGATTTGTCCACCCCTGCCTTTCCCCGTGGGCGCCCTTCTATTGAGTTGTATATACATATAAATATATGTGAGTGAGGTGGATAGGGACCTATTGTCGCGAGAATCCAAATCACAGGAGAGTCCAAAATATCGATCAGGATTGGAAAAAAATTTACAGTCTCTTAAGACTGTTTAAGAAGCTTAACTGCTAAAACTATAAAACACAGACGATCATCGTCATCACTCTCATCACGTGTAGAAATTTGAAGTGTTTGATAAATAGCATCATTATTCAAAGCACTATAAAATATAAAAAAAATTAAGAAAAAATAAGCATTTACAGCACTTTAGTTAGATCATTAAACATTTTATACTCGTATATTACACAAAAACAAATATATAAAAACCACATAAATTTTAAAAATAGTATAAAATATTAAATAATTTAACGTATAATAGTAATAAAGATATACAAATAAAATAATTAAAACTATCAAACATTAAATGGCAGAATTATAACGTTATGAGTTTTTATTGGTGTTACTTTATATTTTTGATACTGATATGTACAATTATATAATTAGTTATTATACACAGTACACAGTTCTCAATGTAAATTATTTTAAATTTGCATGATTTCCCATTGAAGGGTTTATGAAAATAGTTTAAAAAATATAGTGTGTTTTAGTTAATAAGATTTGAAAGTAATTAAAATGTGTTTAGTATTTAGTCATATCTCATTAATTTATACAAAACTAAATTAAACAAAAAACGAACCCAAGTGAAGTAATTGTAAAAGTTACTAAGTATTCATATATTTTATTGAATTATAATTAAGTTTTTCCTATACAACACAGATTCAACCTATTTCATCATATTATATTGGTAAACATTAGTTAGCAATAAATCGTAATAATGTAACTAAACCAAATCCCATTTCAATTCACTTTAATTCATTGCACATTGATTTTTAAACTTATTTTCTTAAAAAAAGGTACATCGCGCTTTAAGTTTTATGTTAATAACTCGACTAGACGTTATAGTTTATTTTTACAAAATATAAATGGCGTTGTTATCTTTGATTTATAGTTTAAATAATATATAGTAACTACTATTATTAAAGTACCCAACATTTGATTGATAATTCCGCTAATGGATTTTGTGGAACATAATAATATTTTACACAACCTATTATAATTTATATTTTTACAACAGAGTAGTTAAGACACCCCCTTCCCTCAATGTCGTCCCTGGACTTCTGGGTGAATAGTCATCTGTGTGCCTCGTAAAATCAATATTAGTATTGTGGTCGTCAGAAAATTGTAAATCCGATGGCCTTCTTTTGGGTGGTTTCCTGGTTGGAGTGGATACGCGTTCTTCGAAGCCAGGGGGTGTTAATGGGCTCAACGGGCTTGATACTGAACTTATGATTGATTTTTTTATGACATCCATACCTCCATAAGGGCGCATGTGTTTCGTTAGTAAACATACACAAGAGTAGAGCGCTGCTGCAGTCATAAGTATACCTATGAAAAATAATTAAATTTTATAAGAATTTTTCGCTTGAGTAAAATTAAACATACATATGTTTGACAAGCTCAAAAAAGTTGAAAATGTGGCTGATCCGTTTAAACGACACTGGCCGTTGTCATCATATAAAATACAAGTCAGATCTAGAAAAAACCATATTAATTATTATTATAATTATTTATACCAAAATCGTTAACTTACGTCCAACGAAGAGGTACAATATTTTGCCAGGCACATGGCCGATTAAACAGATAACCGTAACAGCAAATCCTATAACAGTCGTACGATCATCTGGTTCTACGCTCCTGTAATTTAAATTTATTTTTTTAAATTAACTATTACACGTTATTAACTTTTTAGCAAATTAATTAGTTTTGATTTTAAATTTTTAAATAAAACGTTATTTAAATACTAAATTATTCTTTGATTTTTTATAACAATTTTTAAAATTAATTATGCTTAATACTTGAACCACTATACAGTATACTATAAAAATCCAACAAGCGAGTTAAAGATGGTCATTTATTTAGAAATAGGTATAAATTTCCTTAAATATTTTCATTAGAAATGTCTTAGTTTCTTATCAACGATAATGATAAATATGTCTGATGTGTAAACATCTTTACATGAGTTATTAGCTGGGAGTAGATACGTTAGATGCAACCGTCACGGAAGTAATTGATAAATATGCTGCAGTACTAGCAATAATAGGAGGGCTCTTTAATGCAACGATGTTTGCTGTGCGGCGAAGGGTGGTTGCTAAAACCCTAATTTACAAAATGTGTATTCTGTTTAACATCTTGCTATCATAACGGCAAAAACGTATCTGGCGTATTTTGGCTACTTTACAGAAGAATCAGATTATTGTCAGATGTTGTCAGTTAAATCGCTTTCTAGGGAAAACCGTGAATGTCCTATAGACATTGATATTATGATAATTAAATTACTACTAGATACACATTGCTTGAATTGTCATATTGTCAATCCATGTATACAATGTAGTAAGTATTAATAAAATAAAAAATCCAGTACAGTGAAGTCGGAGGATTGGGGGTGACGGAGCATGTTAGGGTAGGGGAGGTCACAGACTTATATGAATTATTACAACTGAAAGTGATAAATTCACTTTATTTAAAAAACTCTCTTTCTGTCTTTATGGAATTTCTATTAAAACTGTAATAAGATGTTTACACAAAAACAGTGCGAGTACTGCAGCGGCTCACTCAAGTTTTTAGAGAGAACGAAATTTCGACTTGTGTGCTATACATGATGGCATAAATAGATTTAGACGCGTAGTAGTCAATCATTTTAATAAAAGACACGGTTTTAAATGGCAAGATAAAATACTAGTATTTTTAATTTTCTAGTGCAATAAAAAAATTACAATAAAAACCGGAAAACTTTTTAATGTACCAACTACCTAACTAGCAAAAATAAATTACATTTATTTATTTTTATTTTTAGTTGTATTACTATTATTATGATGTAGCTATCACACCATTATTAACTGTATTTAATTACTAGTAGGTACCTTAACAACAGAACAATGGTACCCACTATACATGTGCTCAACAACGATAAGATAAGAACCGATATTGATTGATAGCCGACATTCATCTGTTGGCAGTTATGATCGTAACATGCTCGTTTGCTAGCTGATTCCGTGTTCACACAAGCACAACCAACGTATTCCTTAAAAACAATAAAAAGTATTACTTATGTTAGTTAAATTTTTTTTTTAATTTTAATACTACGCATGAATATACTTGTCTAGAGTAGAGGCCTTGAGCCCTACATCCTGCGTGGCAAGGGGAATAATACACAATATGGCTCATAGACGAGCACACTGGTTCGAAAGGAAGATTGGCGGGACAATTGCAATCTCTATTACAATATTCTTTTAAATCAAACCTGCAAAAATCTTATTTTAATATTTCCAATTTTTCCACTACAAATAAATTAAAATTTGGAATTATGAGCAATTAGTCCGTACTTGTGAGTTATTTGATTGTGAACTTGTATTTTAGAACAACGGAGAAACATGCTACAAAATAGTAATATAGTCACCAAACAGATTATACCGATATTCCAAGCGGTCAATAACGTAGCTCTAGGCTGTGTGACACATATTAATAAACCAGACAAAAAAACACAAACAGCCGCTAGAGGATATCTCAATAAATCTATAGAAAATATAGATTATTAATATTCGTAAATGTAATTATAAATAATCTTAATCAATTCAATTTACCAATTATTATAGTATTTTGATCAGTAGCGTCAGAAGTATGTTTTGGTACAAAAAATACGGATTCCATGTAATTGGGCTCTTCGTAAATTGTATTGACTAACACGGTATAAACACATGAAATAGCAATAATGTTAGACAAAATTAATTTGCTTTCAAATATCCTTACTAGCGTGCTTCTGAAATCTATATTTAAAGAGACTTTAATCTCTATTTTACAAATGTAAAATACCAGGAGATGTTACTTACCATGTCTATTGTTTCTATAAATAGAACTGTTACGTATCAATGTTGATGCTCTGCTTGTTATTAATCTGCTTGGGAACAATGCGACAAGAAATGATACGCCAATCAAAATTAAACCAATGACTGTAAAATTACAGGAGTAATGTATAATGTTTCAACTTAAAATGATTTACTAAACTTACTAAGCCACACAAGATCTCCGGCCAAATTAGACATAGCGCTCACGTGGAACGCATACTTGCCGACTACTAGGCCGGCTTGAAGTCCTAATAGTGATGAGCCGATAATAACTCCAATAAAAGCAGGACTCCTAGTAGGTGTTACTGATTCATCAATTAAACCTAAACCAAGAGCCAGTAGAGCTGTACTTCCAAGAGACATACTGGCTTGAAGCAGAAACAGAACAGTGATTTTGACCCAGTGAAAAGGAACGTGTATGTCCTTTGGAATGGCCCCATGAATAGAATCACAAAGCGGTGTTTCTAAAAAAGTAAAAAAAACGGTGTATTGATTTTTTCGTACTACAAAATACAGTAATACCTAATAAAGTTTTGTTAAATATCCTAATACTCTTGATATCTAGTAGGAAAGTTAGTGAAATTTGATAACATATTTAGAATACTTTTAAGTTTTACAGTTATTGTTTTTAAATTTGTATTAGAAAAATATTCTAAATAGAGAATTCAGATAAACACGACTTTAAATATCCAAATAATTCAAAATGGTATTCTATTAAATAATTATCTTGGTTGTTGAACTACATGAGTTTCTCTCTAGACGCTTAACTTCCACTTGCAACTTTGTTCTCTTGTGTATTTTACTTTAAATATATTTTGTTATGATTTCTTAGTAAATGGTTTTTAATCATTACAAAGTGTTTATCTGTATTGGTCATTCGTATTCCAGTACATTTACAAACTGAGTTCGGTTTTTAGTTATCCTCTTGTTTGATAGTTTCAATCAAACTAAATCATTTTTACGACAAAATATTTAGGGATAATACTAGACCAAAGTTGCAAGGTGCAAAGTTGCAGTAATCAAGGAAGTACGACGGAAATTCGGTAGTTACAAATCTGTGTAGAAACATGACAGATAGAATACATAATAGACAGAATCTAATGGAATACAATTAGAGGCATGCATCTATCTCATGCCAAAGGATTTATAAAGGTTCTAGTAGGTATCACCCGTTAAAAGGTCATATTAAGTAAAATATGATTTTATGTATCTCATAAAAATTCTGCCAGTCAACGATTACCTGATGTAGCTAAAACTATAGCAGATGGTCGTTGCATCTCATAATGTTCGGAAGCATTGATAACCGCCAACAAGACAGCTAAACCTCCTTGCATCGCTCCGAAAAATGCAATCCACGCACACTTGTTTCGTTTACCTCCTCGGTAACCAATAAAAGTGGACAAAACCAAATGAACAAGCCCGCTAAGAAGCCATAACCAGTCTGCGAAAAATCAAAGTAGTCATGTTATATTATAACCTTATAACCACGTACCATCTAATGTAGTCTGTAGACTTCAATGTGTGACTTCCACGTTACCATTTAAACGTACTTGATATGTCTTTAGGTACATTATAATTTTTTGACTCTAACGTTGACAAAAAATATCTTTGAGATGCCATTTGAAAAAATACGAACACACTTATGGTAAATATATATTTCCCGACTGTAGCACATCTTATCCAAGAGCGGCATAAAGAGAATCCAAAAAGTTGTAATCTGAAATCATTTTAATTAAACGTAAATTTTTACAGTGTAACTTTTTTAAGACATTGTAGTAAGTAGCAATATACATGTGTTCAGGACCGGTGCTACAAATGGAGCCCTAAATTGTCCTAATTACTTAAAAAATTTACTACTACTGCTTTTAAGCCTTCTGACATTTTTTACAAAAGAAAGTTTTCTATAGGGTTTATAGTTTTTATTTTTTGACAGCATTTTAGATAAGATATATTAATTTTCATAATTTTTTATTTTACAAATATTGATCTTATATTGTAATTTCATAGGTTTATCAACTTATAAAACATAAATGGTAACATACAAAGTGTCCCACGAGGATTTGACATTTATAGTATCTCTTAGGAAAATTAAAATATTAAAATTCTTTCGTTTTTGTAAATATTTTTGACAACATTTTTAAAAAAAAATTTTGTCTCTAAATATCTAAATAAACACCCCTTAAGAGGTTGTTATAATACCCCTCATTTATTAAGGAGTTAGACAGGATTAGTTGTATGTTGTATAGACAATTTTTTGTAAAACCTTAATTTAAACTTTAAAGGTTAAACTGTGATGTGTAATTATTAATTCAGTAATAGTCGTTTAGGACTAATTTTTGGTAGTTAATTTATTTTTCGCTATCACAGCATACTTGAGGATGATTTAAAAAATGTTTCAACTTAACATAGCTACGCAAGATACGTTTTACTCGGTCTATAGCGATTTTAGAGCAAAAGCCTCTATTATCATATCGAAAGATACGATTTTGAAAATAATAACGTAAAAAAAGTCGTGTAGTTATTTTAGAAAAGTAAAAAAGTGTGATTTTAAATCTAAAATATTAAGTGAAATATTAGGTTTATCAAAAATAGGATATTTTCAAAATCTTGTCATCTTTCGGTTTTCCTTTAAGTAGTTTTGTTCTAAAGTCGGACTTGCTTTTAACTTGTAATTTTACTTATACAAAAAATATTTATTATTTGCTAAATTGTTTTTACAAAACATGGGATACATTATTTTGTACGGGAACTTTAAACGCCCTGACTCCTAAGAGCTTTCATGGGGACAGCTTTTTAAAATAAAAATGTATTTACCTATGTTCAGAAAATATTTCTGAAAAAGATTATATTATCATATGTGCGCTTTTTAAGAGTTGTCCAGCGTCTATGACTTTAAATAATTTACAGCGGCAGCCTTGTCACCCTGAGCACCCTTCGTAGTCACGCCTACGGGAGAAATAGACCAACCGATCTATAATGTAGTTATAAATTCAAAAAATATTATTAAGTGTTTAAGAACGGTACTATTCTTCTTCTCACGGTAATGGCTTTTTTATTAAACTTTGTTTAAAATTAATTTAATATCATAATGATTACAACTTACAAGCTTATAATTAAAATTTTAAATGTTTCATTATTTATACGAACATAGCATTTATATATTATTATTGCTGACAAGATAATCAATAGCTTGAATGACTTGTGTTGAGAAACCACTTATTGATGGAGTACCATATTAATTTTTAACCGACTAAAGGAGGCGGTTATCATTTAAAATTGTAATTAAATGTATATTAAGAGTTTCAAGTTTTTGGGGTATTTTAATTTATTATCGCCTATAGACGAATTTAGTACTAAATTACAATATTATATTAACCAGGATATTATATTCGTTAGTGTATTGTGTACAGTTTCCTTTAATCAACGGTAATTCAGTATACACGCTGATGCGGAACCGTATTTATATAGAAGTTTAACAAAAATAATCATTTTTACTGTAGGCAAGTACAGCTGTTTTAGTAAAATAAAATGCTATGGAATGAAATGCATTAAAAAAAAACACACACAGTTGATGATTTAAAAGTTTAGTTGCGAATATATTATGTTACAATTAAGTTAAATACGTTACTTTTTTATCTTTATTTTGTCTACCCTTGTAAAGTTTCGCTATCGAGTATGTTTAGGACACTTATAATTGTTAGTTATATATATATGAAGGCCATAAGGCAAAAACGATTAAACCTTCATTTTTATCAGACTGAAAAAAACGATTTTCAAAGATCTATTCTCAGTTTTTTTGTATTTTGGTCCGAAACTATACAGCCAGATTGTGTAAGGGAACCATCGTTTTCGCATGGGAGTCAGTTTCTACTGAAACTACGAGGTCTTGGGGAGGTGTACAATAAAACGCACAAAAGAACCGCGTAAAAAATATAAAAATAGGTGGGAAAAACTAGTATCTAACATTTTTAAGTATTGCCAACTTTGATACCTACATAATATATTACATTATGAGTATTATTTTCGATTTCCTGTCCCCGCAGAGGAACCGGAAACGTAGAGTATTACGCGAAGGTTGTTCAGTGTCTGACAAAATTTTACCGGTTACGTTTTACGGATTTTAACTACGGTTCACCAATATTGTAGTCAATCTAGTATCTACATACAATATTGATGTTAATCCTGGACATCGCCAGTGAATCGGGGTATTCTATAGAATATCTGGACTTGGGCGTGTCTCTGAATTGTAGTAAAAATACCATCTGAATAGTTTTTAATGAACTGTTATGCATCGAGTGACTGAACGTGTTAACACTCACTGGAAACAACAAACTCGTATTGCTATAATATTATGTATTAACTATTGTCGCGTACTAATGTTGAACAGCACGCGTACTTAGATATATGTATGCGGCCTAACGTGTATATTTTGTTTCCCATAAAAATGTTATACAGGATGGCGCAAAAAGAGCGCATGTTTTCCAAGCAACTGTAACTTCTTAATTTTATAAAAAAAAAAATACACGAGTATAAACTATCGTGTGCGGTTTACAAAGGTAGAATTTTAATTTAGGTTAACTTTAATAAGTTACACACAGATCTGGTATCGTAGGGTTCAAGGGACGTCGTCAATAAAAAGAATATTTCTTCGACAACTCACATCCATGCTCTTGCTTGTCCGTCTAGTTTAACCACATTTCTCTCATGTTGGTTCGTCGTTGCGAACTTGTGGGAGTAAGAAATGTTGCTAAAAGCAATGAAGAACTTCGAGGAGAGGCTTCAGGTATAGTGTGTCCATCAACAAGGGCAAACTATAGTCTGTTCAAAATGAAATTGTACAGATATCTAACTTAACCTGACTGCGCCGGCAAGACTAAAGTTTGTTACAGATTATAATCAAGTATATATTTAAAAAAACAATAATAAAGACGTTCTTTTTGCGCCACCCTGTATGTATAAATATATATATATTCCGTTAAAATTGCCGCAGCGTACCGTGTATCTTCTCCAAACAATACGACAACTAACGAATAGACGGACAATGTACGTTTTTCGGTTTCTTCTTTGTCATCATAATTCACAGTTGTTTCGACCCGACGTTATTTGTACAGCGTAGCTATAACTATTAACTATACCTATATTTATATTGTATAAGTCGACAATACTCATTACCCCGCGTAAAAATATAGATCCGAGTGTTACGCAATGACCTCATACCTTGCACATTATATTTATATAACAGTCTCATTTTACGATTGAACGCCATAATAAGTTTTGGCCGTAAAAAAAACTGTCAAGGATTCGTTTTATTGTCTCTGTAGGAAAAATTCAGGTATCAAATTAGCGTCATTGCCACAATTAACTGATGCATAAGGCACGTGTGAATAGTATTTTCTTCTTATTCTCTGGTCTTGGCGTTCGACTCGGTAAAATATGAATTGCGGATTACCTGCATATAATATTACAGAACATAATGTATATTTGGTTTTTATTCGGGAGAGAGGGATAAGTGTAAACTGTACACAATTTCAAAGCGAAGGTTCAAAAAGAGTTCAGCTCTCAAAGATGAATACGTAAATTTAGCCTTATTGACAGTTAAAATACAACCTAAATTCCAATCTTATCTACTTACAATCGGTAACAAACAAAATAATGTTTATATTTATTGTTTTAAGTCATCACGTAAGAAATCTTAACAGCTCAAAACTTTTTCCGTGTATTAAGTTTCGTAATTGTTGTCAGTCCAGGAAATATATATATATATGTTATTTAAGCATTTTTTATACAAAAACGCTATTGCCATTTGAATTTTTAATTGAAGTTTCAGTCATAATGCGCTAGAAAAACACGCATACAACTAGTGGTGTCTGCGACACAGACCTAATAGGCACGAGACATAATAGGGTGGGTTGTCCATTGACACTAACGACACAGGTAATATTATCATCAAAGTTACAACGACCGGTTGATAGTTCGGGGCAAACCTTGAAGAGACCAATTTCTGGAACGGACACAGTTATGGTAATCTTGGAAACCCAAAGACATGTGCGGATGTGCAGTGTGGTGCGGCGGGATTAGTAGAGCGACTCTATGTGACTCTGCTCGGACTAACTGAACGTCGAAGGGCCAACCGATAAAACAACCCATATTCACTCTCTCCGTCCACATAATCGTGAAAGATGATCAAGCTTAGACTGGATTGTGGCGCATAAACGTGTGGCCACCGTTAGGGGGCTTAAGTGAGCTGCATCGGGGTCTTTTTACTCCATTACTGTACATAATTTGCATTACGTGTGACCTTCAAAAGTCTGTAACTTCAAAACTAAGTGCGTCCGGTCAAACATTTTTTCTTAAAAAGCGTTAAAAGTACTACCGATTAAAAAATAAGTAGCAAAAACCGTGCCCGGTAAAGTAGATTTGTTCCTAGGCTTCTCCCGTCTCGGCCCGTCTACCCCTTCTCTCTAGACTACCCTCCCTCTCCCCCATGTAAATATTTTAAATAAATCCTATATTCAAACTTACCAGCTAATTTATAAACTACCTGATGTTTCTGAGTAAGTTTAAATTTTCATTTCGAAGCTAAGAACAATTATTTTGAACATTACTTTTATAAACTTGTTACTATTATACTTGTTACCCATTACCAACCTAATTGTATTATGTTGGTCTGTTTACTCTGACGCTCCTTATCGTGAGAAAACTTAACAATCCAACACAAATTAAGCATTCCTATTTACTGAGTGCCTCTAAAATATTTACAATGCACTGACATTGTGTCTCATTGCTATTATGGTTAGCTGTTTATTAAATCCTTTAGTAATTAATGATGTTAAGAATCTACCTTTAGTATCCCAAGTCACCGTATATCAGTTTAATTACGTTTTTCTCATATTGAATGCATGTTTTCAGAAGACACGGTTGTGCTGTCGAAGCTATAGTGTGTCGTTTAAGATTTGAATTGATTATTAAATATTATTTTATAGATATTTCCACAAGCCGAATAACAAAATGGTTTTTATTTATATGAAAAAAATCTACACGACGCTTTTGAATAATTAAGAAAACCAATAACAACGGCGTTTTTTAGCTCAGTGGTTACTTGTATTGCGTCGACAAAACTAGTAGTTAATTTTTTTAAATAAGTTATAATGTATAAAATAAATACAATTTCATACGACAAACGATTTAATTGTGCGACATTTTCATTTATTTTAATTATTTTGGATTGGATAAGATATTAGTTTTTAAATACTATTCACTGGTAAGACGTCAAGTTACATTAAGAGGATATCAGCGCAGCCCATTTTTAGGAGTAAAGTATAGGCAATTTTTTACAAAATCTTAACTTAAAGGTTTAACTGTGATGTGTAATAATTATTAGTTCACTAATTAAGACTCTTTTTTGGTAGTTAAATTATTTTTCGGACTATCACAGCATCTGCGACAGCGATTTAAGAAAAATTTTCCATAAAAACTTAGTTTTTTACAACCAACAATTTTAGGAGCCACTAATTTTCAATTAAAGTAAACATGTTTTAGTGCCGGTAAATCGCTGCGCTGACAACCTCTTAATATAATTTTATATTATATTTGTATTTATATAATTTAAAGCGCATAATTTAATAATTATTTGCAATTTACATTTTTGTATGAAGACTCGATTCGTCAGCCGTGTTCGATTTATTTTTTATCTATTCTCAGTCTAAAAACAGTTATTTGTAAAACAATATTTGTTCATGCAGTCCATTGCACAGTATATTATTTTTATTGAATATTATAGTAATAACTTACAAATTACAATACTCAATACATTCGGACGAACGGTAATTTATTTTAGTCATTGTCATAATTTATGCTCGATGTAATCGGGTTAATAGCGATCAAAGACAACCGTGTTTTTGACGGTTAAATGATAATACACTTTGAAAAATGTTTTCGTTTAACGATTCAAAGTGACTGAACTGTCGAGAGATTAAAACGCGACTATAGAGGTTAAATAAGATGCAAATATTAAATTGTATAAACAATGACCGCGATCGGCAAATTAGGTTATACAAACATAGCAATAAAGAAGAAACCGATTGCAAGGACCACTCCTACAATATTATTATGACAAAGATGATTCACACAACTTCGGGAAATGCGCAGTTTTATATAAATAATAGACACATATTTACAAGGCCGAGGAGGGAATACTGAACAGAATGATATATGATAAATGCGAAGATCCGGCCAAATAACTCAATAAGGTCTTTTGACTGTCTTTTTAATACTAGGTACGAGTGTTAAAAACTACCACCCCGAGAAAAGATTTCTGTCGTACCTTAGGATGTGATCAAGGTAGTGGTGGAGGTAGTAATTTGATGGTGGTGGTAGTACTGGTGTTATACACATTGTAAAATCATTGTTGGCGCGAGCCGTTACACGAATAGAGTTAAACTCACCCGCAGTCGGACGGCAGGTCTTCGATGTGCGGCTGTACCGTAGGTTGTGCATACGGGTGGTTGTTCATGTTGTGTCCTTAGAAGGATGCCCGTGACAAGTTTATGCGCCTGGACACAATGCCAATGCCAATGCTGTTCTACGACAACGGCGACGGGCTGTCGTTAGTTCTGGGACACGAGTAACGCGGCCATTATTATTGTCTTCATGTCGGTGTTATGATTGCTGCACGCGCGCACCTAACGTGTTCTGGTCGGACGGCAAAAAGACACTGCGCGTGCACATCACCGCGCTGTAGGTATGCGTGGTGCACACCTCGACCGGCTCAATGTATAGGCAATCGTATTTACTGCGTACACAACGACAGCGGCAATGTTTCACCGTACGGGCAGAACATAAAACTGGAGGCGCGCGTACCGTTGTGGTACAAATCGGTGATTTTGGAGGGGTACACCTGCCGTATGGTACGGCCGCAGGTGAAAGCGTGTATATTATTGTTGTCATGACGATGCGGTGTAGTAAATAGCAACGACTAAAGAAGGCGAAACAAACACTAGCTGTAGGACCAACGCTGCATTAATCGTTTTAACCCGTGGCCGCCAACACGAATCCCAGTATGTATCTCCGCATTTACCCAGCGAGTGTGTTGTTAAGTCATTGTACCACAAACAATAACCCTCATCTGAAGATGAGGAGACGAAATCTGAAGAGACGCAGTGACTTTGAGGCAAATATTTGATTGAAACTAAATTCAAATATGAAATATGCTTAAAAATGTACTTCATCACTATGGTCACATTGTGCGATTTTAAGTTGTGGACTGTGGAGATTTCAATAGAAATGTTCTGCTTCTGTCGAATACGATTGAGAGTTGCCTGTTTAACTAATTCAATTTGTAGATATCTGCTCGAACTGCTAAAACAAATGACTAAACTTCTATTTATAGAATTTTCGAACTAATTAAAAATTATCTTGTCAGTTTTCAAATTGACGAGTCCTTTTCACGGAACTCATATGGAACGCGCATTGCCTATAGTCGGCTGCCATATTGTGAATAGTTAATTGTTTTTCCATGATTTATCAAATATATCACGGTGTTATCATCACCTAACCTAACATTCTAATATTTATCATGGATAAGTAACGTAATATTTTTACTTTCCATAAAATTGTACACAACATGGCAGCGTCCAAGGTCGGACATATTACAACCCGTATGCGCATTCCATATATTGAGTTCAGTGGTCATTTTATTTAGATCATAAACTATTAGTTTTAAATTGAAATTGAAAACATAATAATATACCACATTTGATTGCATAAACAACATTTTTCTCGTATAGTCTGCGTGAAATATGATTCATAAATATTGTTAATCAACAATATTAAATTGATTTCCATCTAACGCTAATTCAAAGTGTATCAATAGAAACATCAGTCTGACAAAAATTCCCTAGAGATAATTGAGACGCTTTCAGTATATTTGCTTTCGTGTGTTGTAAGGGCAGATTTTCCAGAAAAAGACTTCAGGCATATGAAACATTTATACAGCCTTTCACCAGTGTGCACGCGTTTGTGAGGTTGGATTTTATAGGAACGTTTTTAAGCAAATATAACATTTGTTGGGATTATCGCCGGTGTGCATGCGTTCGTTTAATGTAGCCCGGGTAGTGGTGGATTTTTAAAGAGGATGATTGTTAGTTGAACTTTTGTGGAATTTTATCATGTGTAGAGTTTTTTGCTTTTCTGTGTTATACGATTTTTGACAAAAATCGCAGTGGAGTAACCGCCGTTCTTTTAAAACTTCACTGTCATTCTTTGTTACTATTTGACGTATGTTAACTGTTCCAATCCGAGACTGAAAATGACCACCATCAATTTCTTTATTTGTTTTATAACTCGTACCATTGACACTACAAAAAAAAAAATTCAAACAATAAACAATAATGTTTAAAACAAATATAGTCTATTCACAATTATATACAACATTTATAAATTATATGTCGTAAGAGGGCTAGTGAGGAAATTGAGTGATTAAACTAATAAGGATAAAAGACGAAAGTAGATGACATTAGGAGTCTGAGATTTACAAGTAATTTTTATTGTAATTTTGATTAGCAATGACATAACATACAGGTTACTATAGAAAAATTGTTTAGTAAATCTCCGATACATATTAATATTGCTATATATTATATTCTCGAAGACACCAGTCTGTGTAGCATTAATGAATAGTTTTTGTTCTATTTTCCATAAATAAATGGATAAATTCAATTTTCTGGCTGTCAGAAATACTGTAGCTATTTTAAGATGCATCTTGGCATCTTCTTTTATAATAATGATTTGTTTAGTGCTAAAAATTGAAAACGATTTGATTAACCCTATCCGCGAATGGATGGCATACATATCTTTTTATTCGTATTTCATTCCTATTTTGCTCGTTTCAGTATCTATCGTTAACGTTAAGGTTTACTCGAAGAGTCATCCATCCTTAGACCCAACGGAGTGAGTTAAATATATTAATATAGTTTATTTATAATATAATTAGCTTTGGCTTATTTACTACAGGGTTATAGTCTATAGAAGCCCAGGCACTGTAGAAGTGTCTGTAGTCATAAATATTTTTGAAATAGAATTAACATGATGTTTTTTTTGCTTACTTAAATTTTCTAGTTTTGACACGTGATTTGATAATTATCTTTTAGTAAATAGAGTCCAGGGTAACTTATCCATCATAGTCTTTGTGTGTCACAGTTCATGATGTATTCTAGCATACCGTGGTAACAATAGTAGAAGGGAAACGTTCAAACTGGAACAAAAGGATGATTGATGATTCCTCTTGTGTAAGCGAATCATCCTTTTGTGTGAGTCAATCGTCCTTTTGTGTTTCGGGCGACTGTAACAAAAATATGGTCACCACCCGTTAGCTTACCTCAACCTTCGCCGCCCTATGGATGATTGCCAGCCGTACCGCCCTAACAGTTGACGTTATACATATATAGGTAGCATATGATAATGTTAACCAAACGCAAAAACCATATTAATTTTCAGGTCTATATTGAATGGGCATAAACGAACATTTTCTTAAAAAAATTGTATACACGTTTGGGTAACATTATATTTATATGCTACCTATAAATGTATAACGACCACGGTTCGGTTGGCGTGTGCATGTTAAAATGTGTACAATAATTTTAACGTTTTCAACACGATTGTCATGGTGTATGAATCCTGGTTACCTGCAATCATCCATAGGGCGGCGAATGTTGAGGTAGATTAACGGGTGGTGACCATTTTTTTGTTACACTCGCCCGAAACACAAAAGGATGATTTGCTTACACAAAAGGATGATTCGCTTACACAAAAGGATGATTCGCTTACACAATAGGAATCATCAATCACCAATCATCCTTTTGTTCCAGTTTGAACGTCTCTCTTCTACTAACAATAGTATATTTGTAAGTCCGCTCTCTTCCATATAGAAGAAAAAATCCACATTGTACCTTTTTCTAGCTTCATCTTTTGTTTCACTATCGATTATTGTTAAAGTTAAGTTCTTCGACTTCCCTGTCACTAGATGAAAATACATTTCAGGGGAAGTCATATGGCCAACAGTTCCCTCTCATCGGTTTTGTACAAAAAAAAAAATATCAAATATTTCAACTGCATTTATTAGCACTTACATTTGAAAATTCTACATTATCTCATTGAGTTGCATTTTCGAGCTCATTAATTCTACCAACTTCATTTTCTATTTTGCGCAAACAAACTAAGAAAACGGCACTATAAATATACTAATTTTGCCGAACACGTGAGAACCCACTTCATAAAAAATTAACGTATTGATACTACGGTGTTATGCTACCAATACACGATAATTTGTTATTATTTTTGTTATAGTAATACCGTTGATTATAAATAATATACTGGCATGTATTTTTTGCTGCGCGTAAATTGTTGCCGTTGTAGAGCGCATTATACCTACTGTTTTTAGTGTTTTTATAATCAATGGCAATACGAATGCGATTAATTATTCGAAACCTTGTCCATAACCTGATGGAATAAAAGGTTTATCCAAAAACGTATCAAATAATAAATGGGTTCAATAACTCTAACATATAAAATGTTTAGTATCAATAGCGTAAACGTTTAAGTATAAGAGGCGGTTGTCTCGCAAAAAAATAAATAAATACTCAGTATATACTCAGCACAAAATATGTGTACTAAGAGCCGTATTGTTAATAAGAAGTATTTTGTTGATAATTTAAAAAAAATAGTTTCTACTATTATTTAAATCTTTCTAAACATATTTATAAATCCATTGACCTTTACTGCCGACGGTAACATCAATTAAAAAAATACATTTATAATGATATAAAACATGATGTTTACGTTAATAAAAATATCAAGACATTACCCTCAATACTATGCTCTTATGAAGAGTTTTTTTAAATTCATATTTTTTATACCAAACTTTTTGTATTATTAATTGAAATAAAATGTTTTTTGAAATTGAATTTGAATAATTTGAGTTAAAATTATAAAAAATCTTAAGTACTCGTTTTTTCAAAACGCAAAGAAATATTTTATGTTCGAATTTTTGGGAAACCGAGAGGCTGTTTTTTGATAAATCATTACTAATGAATTTTGTGATAGTCTAATACAAAATTTACCCACAAAAAACCTTAAGAGGACGTCGCAGGTAAAGTGTTACGTATACAACTCCCGAGAGATGGCGTTATTCTCCGTCTCGGCGCGGCGGCGGCGGTTTATAGTCACGCCCATACGAGTGCTGCGGCGGCGCGTTGTAGTATTATCAGAGCGGCACATTATTCTATCACCTACTGCCGATCTAGTAAAAACTAATATTATGCTGGAAACGTATAATTCGTCGCGGTAAACATTCGCTACTTCGTGAGCTCGCGCGCGTGTTACAAGCTCGAGTAAATCTTTTTTATAGCTACTGTTCATTAACATTTATATAACAATGGACTGAGTAGAAAATACAATACCCATCATAGTTTGAATCATTCTGATAACTTAATTACTTTTTTTTAGCGTATAAATAATTTTCTCAGATATCAGAATAAACTTGGTACCTCGTATAGCGTACTTACGTATTAACATTTATATTGGAGCATACTTATTTTGCATGTCTGTTACAATAAAATACGTGTTTCCAAATTTGCTTAGACTATATTGGCCATGGTCGTAATGAATATTTTAGTTTTTTTTCTTTTTTACTGTTTTTTTTTTATAGTATTATAGGTCACCAAACAAAATCATTAAAAATCAGTATTTTATGTAAAACATTTCAGCTTTCTGATAATTCATTTATAAATCCAAAATTAATAATTGAAAACATGTTTATAAAAATTCATCAATAGAATAATAATTGTATAATGGTACGAGTATCCGTTATAAACTTTAAGTGCTGGACGGGTCATATATAATATTCTATGATTTATTTCATTAAATAATAATTATATATAAATCTAATACTATTTCATAAAAAAACAATGTGAACATATGTAAATTTTGTATTATAATTTTTATCTATAAAACACACAACACAATAGGAAAAATAAAAATGTGGCTTCTTTGTGCAACATAAATACAGTATTTCCCAAGTAAAGTCATATTTCTACAATATTTACAAATAATATAATTAGATAAGCTTAGATTATCTGTTGTTATCCCGAAAATTATGGTGGTCACCGCCGACATTAGTGCGGAATTTAGCTTTGTTATAAAAAAAAAAAAAAAAAGAATACGAAATCATAATTGAAATATATTGTGAGTAATACTCTTTAGTTTATAAATTGTAATTATATAGAAAAATAAATTATAGTATAAATGAAGAGTTAATTTGTCAAACGTTCCAAGTGCTAAAGTATAAAAATTGAACTTTATAATTTGATTTTTTTTATTTCACTAGCGGAAACATAACATATTTTTGAGTTTTAAATATGATTGTTTTTTTTAATAAATATCTATTCCTTACTTGAAATTTACAAAATTCTTTCCGGTGTAGTAAACCCACGTAGTGCACATGGGTCCCTATAAAGGCATGTCCTCCTTTCGCGTCTATGCATGGTCACTATGACGTGACCAATGGGTGTCCCCTGGTAATAATTTAATTATACTTTATTCTTTTAATTGATTATTTGATTATGTTCGAGTAGAGCGACGGCGTCGAGTAGTCGGTAGTCAATTAACGATAGGACTGATTGCACTACTCAGTTATTAACTTCAAAATTGATTAAACATTATTATTATATCAAATTTATTAAACATTGTTATATGTCTATTACAATTAATTCAAAAGTTTAACTTATTCAAACGTTGGTCGTTTACGGTGTTTTGTACGCGGTCATCCGACCGGTGCACTACACCGGTAATGGATAAAATACAATTTTAATTATAAAGTTCAATTTTTATACTTTGGCACTTAGAACGTTTGACAAATTCATTTTTCAAATATTTATGTTAGATAAATACGTTTTTAGTGGTCGGCATTGAATGAGGGGGGTGGCTTAGATTGAGAGTAAAGTAGTATGTATAGAGTGTCTTATATCATATTAGTGGTAAACACTTTTTCAGTTTTTGTTCGAATTTTCAGAATGATTTTCATGTTTCTATCATAAACCCTAAATAACATACGAATATTAGAAATTTAATTTTTAATGACTCAAAATGTGTACTTTAATACATTTTAAAATCAATACCAATTTACGAACTAAATTTTTACTTTCTAGAAAACGTTCGGCGATGGCATCAATTACAAACGAAATTCAATTTCCACTGTACCTAATAATTTCGGCGACAGAAATATTCCTTCTAGTCTTTTATTGTAACAGTATTTACTATACTTTACAAACGGTGTCTAAGGAGTTAAATGCAACTTTGAATGACGGCTTGGGTAGATATTATTCAAACTCAGAATGGCAACATTTTTGGGATAACTTCCAGCAACGATATTATTGTTGTGGAAATATGGAAAATACAGATTGGTTTCAGGTAGCATGGGTATCGCCAATCATTATTCCATCGTTTCCTTCATTAAAAAAGTACAAATTCAAATTTCAGCCATTCAGTGTTGACGTAACAGTTTTTAGCCAATAGGTATAAAATATTGTATGCTGTATGGTATACTTTTAATTCAGATATACACAAGAAAATGGCAAGTTCATAATGCCGAGTTCGCCCGTATCGTGCTGTCTGCCAGAAAACACGTGTAATATTTTCACAGACTGTGAACAACCTGATCCAGCAAAATATTACAAGCTTGGTTGTTATTTTGTAATATTGAAAAAGTTTAACTATTTAGGAAGTAGTCGATTCATTTGTTATGCAGTGATAATTATCCAGGTAAAACTAAAACTATATAATTTTTTTTTTGAAGTACTTATTGATAGGTTTTTCTTAAAGTTAACTTTTTTCAATCTACACTTATATACGTATAGTTTATAGTTCTTTATGAAATCAACACAATTAATTAACAATTATCTATAATTAGTTTAAATTAAATATGACAATATAGTTTTTTTTATTATTTCAAATAACTAATTTTAATAGTATATTTTATTTAGATTTTATTTACTGTTATGGTCTATGAAAACAACACTAAGTGTCATACCATTAAAATACCACTAAGTGCTTAGCTAACAAGATACAACACAACGAAAATCGACAGGAATGATTTATTACATCTCAAATTTCAAGTTCAGTGTTTTGTAAAAATATTAGTTTATGAACAGTTCATTGTAATGAAATAAATAACAATTGTTTAATTTTGTTAAAAATGTTTTTAAATATTAACATATTAGCAATGCAAGATAAGTGATGACTCATTAGTCATAATTATACTTCATTACAATCAATATCATAGTAAGATAACGGTATGCCATTGGTTTTAACTTTTAAAGCTTAAACATATACATGCAGAATGATATTCAATGATAGTTTTAGCGAAAAAATTAAAATCACTTATACTAGGTGATTTTGCTTTTTGAAAGAGGATAACAATTGTCAATTAATATTATGGAGGTAATATCCTCATAAATCCTTTTTAAATATGTACACCTTAGAAAAAAGTTATTGCCGTGTTAAAACAGTACAAAATGCGTTTTTTTAACATTAAATACTATGCTGAAATTTAAATGTGGCCGTAATATTGTCATCATTTCCAGCTTAAATTCTACTATTACAGTATCAACTGATTTTTTTTTTTCAGTTCTCCGGTACAATATTCTTTTAGTTCTTGGTAGGAAATTCGAAATGTTCTGCACCAAATTTTGAAATTTCTTAATTTTTCCTCTATTTTATGCATTGTCGAGGACTATGCTTCATATAATAATACATAGAAATTCTTTTCTCCATATGTAATTTTGATTATTAGGTATGTAAAATTATAACATATGAATCGCTTCATGCAAAAAGGGCCTAAGTCAACATTTGATCAAAAGCGTGATTATTACAGATTTGTTATCACTTTATTTAGACGCATCGATTCATGTTAAAACGGCTTTAGTCCCATTAATATCCCAAATAATATTATAATAGCATACTAAGAGCAAAGAGTGTACACAAATTTACATCTTATACAAATTTAACACAGAATACATGATATAGTAAAACGAGTATAACAGAATACAAATTATTATAATAAACAAATTAATATATATCATAGGATAAACAATATTATATTAATAAGGAGGCAATTATTGAAAGTAAATATTTAAATCTAAAATTTTCTAATCGAAACCCAAACATAATCGCCGAAGTTTAGATTCATTAAAATCAAAATTTTGAAGGGTATTACAGAATCGAACCATGCGACTCTTAGGTTCGTTAAAACTGTATGATTCTGAGTGGAATGCCTCAAAAAAGATTGTTTTTGATCTGGTGTGAAAAGTTGGAACTAACCAACCAATAAATTCTATGATTTCGATACAAATAATATGACCATTTAAAATTTTATAAATAAATAACGCATCATTAAGCTTACGTCTGGATGAAAGTGAGTGATTTTTAGTCTGCCAGGGCTGAGTAAAATAATTCTCTAAAAGTAAAACAAACAGACAAGAACTCATTTTTATATTTTATACAGAAGATTACCTCTTCTATAATAAAGTATATAAGTATTTACTTTCTAATCTTAAAAAATAACAAGGTATTTGCGAAAAACTGATTTTGTTGACACAAAGCGCGCTCTAGCGGAGCTAGCAGGCATCCAATCTTGGGGACTTCTAGTATGTTACTAATGAGTAAGGACCCTTCACTTAAAGTGTATAACAAAATTCATCTTTCCAGCATTTTTTTCCGCTATTTGCCAAAATTGGGTCTAATTTGCCTGGACTAAATAGTAAGATGTCATAGGTCTATGGAAAAGTACTACTTTCATAAGATTTTGAATCCACCTCGTCTGTGATATTACTTTGCGAGATAACAATTTGTTGTTATCATCAATTATCACATTGGTGTAGGACTATATAAGATAATATAGTCTATCATCTATGATCTATGTAATAAATTATCAATCTCCTTATACTTATAGGTATAATTGTGTAAAAATTGGTGGGTATAAGTAATTTCTAGTTTGTGTAGTGTTAAATGCTAAAATTAATAACCAAATGACCTTGCGTTTTTAAGTATTAATATTAAATATACTTTTATCAATCTTAAAATGCCTTCTAATTTTTTACTCTAGACTTTAGTGCTACAGAATAAATACTACTAAATTAATTTTTTTATATTTTTTTAAAATTCTCAAAACAAATTATATATAATATTAGTTAAAAATGATATTTTATATATAATCAAACTATGGCTGAATTCAAACAGAAAATAAAACAATTCTTGGATACTAAGGTAAGTTTCCTAAAATAAAAACAATTTATAGTATATCAAATGTACTATAAATAAGATATACATTATTTTAATTTATTGTGTACCTAGATACTGTACGTTTTTTAATTTTTATCCATATAATTGTATATTTTACCTATATTATTATTTATTAGGGAACTGTTAAAATCCCTTTAATTGGATCTCAGGATTTTTGGGATAATACAAGACAAATAAATAGTGTACCTAAATTGGAAACTAACAGTGATAATATATCTGAAGAAAAATGTGATGCAGAAGTTATATTAAACATAGATCAAGTTTATTTCAATGATTGCGGTTTTGATTATGCCAGATTTGAGTTAGAGGTAATAAATGTAATAAAACTATATTAAATATATAATGTATGTGTAATATTAGTATAAATGCACTTTACCAGAATCCTTTTTTTACGCTGATTACGAAAAGTTAGAATTAGGCAGACTCCACTAGTTCAAAGTAATTTGCAAATTTATCCATATAATATTAGGTGACAGCAATGGCTAGCGGCGGATGCTATTATGCCCTGCCCTTCGTAGTTCCTTTTTTTTTTTGGCGGATACAGGACATGTCTTCCAGAGCTTACCGCCTTGGGGGCCGAAAGATGCAGCGCTGCCATCGATTCACTCAACAATATTCTTAAAGTTCAAGTAGCTGTAACTTTTTAACTAGAGGAATCTGCCTAATTCAGATTCGTAATCAGTGTAAAAAACACATAACAAAAACAAAAGGTGTCCGGTTAAGTGCATTTGTTCTATAATATTTATTAATATTTGTAAATTTAATACAGAAATTGCCAGAAACTATTGACAAGAAATTAACTGCCAATGATATAAGAAAATTAAAGGCACAACATGAAATTGTTAAAAAACAGTTATTACAATTAATTCTTGAAAACCAGGCTGCGTGCGATGAAGAATTAGATAAGTAAGAACTAAAAAAAAAAATTTTATTTATAAGGTAATATTATGGTAAAAAAAATTGTAAGTATTTTGAAGAAATAAAAAAAAAGAATTTAGAGTTTAGGAAAATAATTATAAAGTTCATCTTAGGATATCCAAATCCTTATTACATATTAATTAACTATACGGAATTAAAGTTGGATTTGTGTTTTTTTTAGAATCGAAGTACTGCAAATCGATTTAAAATCAAGTTTGGAAAACTGTGAACATGCTAAAAATCGTTTGAAACTAGCTAAACGACAAATAACAACAGCTGGGTTGGGTCTTTTAGGAAATTGTAGAAAAAAATCTATAATTATTGATTTGTTAAACTCATTAAATAGCATTAAAGTTCTGGTAACATTTCAGTGGTAATGTTAATTTTATATCTTATACTTATACCTGTTTAATTTGTTACAGTTACAAACAGAGAAAAAACTTGAAGAATTAATTTCAAAAGCAAATTATGTCAAAGGAATAGCTTTACTATTAGAGTGTATACAAGGAGCATCTGCTTTTAAACAGTTTACTTGTATAGCAGCATTATCTTTGAAGCTTCAAGATGCATTAATCATGACTGAAGAACAATTGGATATTGTTTTATCAAATGTAAATTACTTTAGTTTAAACAGAACTTTATTTAGTGCACTATACATATGTTTATAAAAACTATAACATAGTTAAGCAATAATGTATTGTTTTTGTTAAAAGTATTAAATAACTGCCTAAATATTAGTTGCATAACAGCAGTCTAAAGCTCCCCAAGGCAAAATATTTGTTTATGCCCTATAGTTTACATAAACAAGTCTATTATACCATACAAAAGAACCCTACAATAGTCACTCCTAGGGGTTCATATAAAATATTTAAATAAAAAACTTAAAACATATCAGTATTAAACTATATCCTGCCTGCAGAGTTTGTGCATGTAGACTGAAGACCAAGCAGCCGCCGAGGACAGGTGCCGCACAGGGATATGCAGAACGGTCAATTTTTGATAGGTCGCAGCATGTTCTCTCGGCGGACAGGGTATAGAATTAATTTTGTTGGGAATATTAATTTTTTTATGTTTGGTTTAAAATGTAATCCAGGATACAACAATTAAAAAAAAAATCCAGAATAAATATTCTAATTTATAGCTAGTTTTGAAACTAAATATCTTGTATAGTATTTATTACTAAAGAAAATTTTAATATACTAATTAACTGCCCGTAAAATATATAGCAAATTTGAAACAATTTTTAACAAAATGATATACAATTTATATTTTTAGATGTGTTTCAATTTTGATCATGAAAAATATTCTGCAGTTCAAGAAGCATATCGTCGGTTAGGAAAAAGAAGAATTGCTATTGATCAACTTCATATGCACTATACTTCAGCAGTTCACACTGCTTCTTTCGATACTATTAATTTATATGTAGATGTTGAGCGAGTCGAGAGTGAAAAAAAATCATTTGTTCACTTATGTCAGGTAGTCGTTAATTAAATATGTTTTACTATTATATTAGTAGTACAATATATATATATACATTTTTTTTTTTGTTCAATATAGTGTATTCCTGATGAACAATTAATTCCATGTCTAATAGCACTAAGTAAAATATTTTGGAATATTTTACAAAGCTATAAAAAAGCAGCAGATTGGCATAAGGAGTTTATTGATGTAAGCCCAGATATTGAAGGTGAATACATTCGATATATATATAAAATGTATTTTTATTATGAAAAAATACTTTTATTAAAATTTATCTAACACGGTTTCTCTAAAAAGAAAACAGTTATAATGATAATAGCATTCAAACTATGTTATTTAGAGTTAATAACCACATTGGTTTGGTTAATAATATTGTCATTCTTCCGATTTTCCGCACTCGGTATTGTGTGTATTAAATAATAATTGTCCGGAACAAAATATTGTTATCAAAATCTACTGAAAATATTTAAAATAATACTTATGCTCACTATGTGTATTAATATTGAGATTAATTAGCACAGGCTGTATATAATAGTGTTCTTATTTTTTCTGTTGGCCGCTGGTCATGTTTGAAACTCTTATTTTAATCGGAGTATATTAAATAGGATAGAATACGAGGTATAAATTCAATTGTATATATATCGTATCAGAAAGAGGAGTGGATAAGACGGGAGTGTGTTAGCGCTCACTGTTGCTGGTTCGACACTTGATCACGAGCGCTCTGTTTGCTGTTTGAGCAATTATTCGATGAAAAGGAGCCGTCATCCTCCTCTCCGGCGACGGACTGACAACCTGTCTCGAATAGCTAATTTGTCAAGAAACCATCTCATGATGACAGCGTTGGGCCTTCATGGCCTGTAAGCTTTATGATGATAATATATCATATCACCATAATATTTAAATGTAAAATAATACAATAAAAAAAAATTGTATTACATAATTTACTTCGTTATGTTATAGTATATATATTTGTATTTTGAAATTTATCAAATCTGGAGGGGCTAGAAGGGATATAACTTGCAATGTCTTTGGTTATAGTTTTGATTAAATGGCAACCCTAGTTTCGTGTTGGTGAAACATATTACTAGCAAGAATTTAAAATATCAGTTTTTGTAATTATAGATGCACATTGTATTTTTTTAATACAAACTATCCAATATTTATCTTCATTGTTTTTAATTATTTTATAAATTGGGCAATTATTAGATGATATTGAAGAGTATGTAAATCAAGAATATATAAACAAGAAATTTGAAGTTGGCCCTACTCGATTATGGGGAGATATGATTACCAAGATATCCAATTTAGTATTTAACTCAAATATGACTCATTTTAAATTTGACGACTTCCTTCAAGTGTTGTCCATTTTAAAGAAGTAAACAAAATCTTAAAGAAATAAAAAACCCTATTTCACTTTTTTATGTTATATTATTTTAATTGTATTTAATATTTTAGGCACATTAAAATTGGTGAAGAATTTTGCGATAGCAAATCGGAGCAATTACAAAATGATACAAAAAATGCGTGTATTATTTATTTTCATGCTTACCATAAAAACAGTTTAGATGAACTTGCAATTTTTTTTGAAAATGAAAGTTGGACTTTATGCCCTGTTAAACGAGAATTTAACTTATTTCAATTACAAGTTAGTGTATTTTATACTTTTAAAAAATCATTATAGAAATAATGCAATTATATTTTAAAGGAATTCAAGTCTTTGAAAAATTATATTCAGAAAACTGGAAAATTAACTCATAGTAGAAACTCTTCATTGGATAGTAGTTCTATAAGCACAAGTGACTACAGTATTAGACCAGACAAATCACCATTTGATGATGATTTGAATACAACTTATAGTGAAGATATTTTAGATATGGAAGTAATGAAATTTCATTTCAATATTTACATTGTAACTGGTAACTATTAATTAATTAACAATGATTACAGATGGAAATAAATAGTATTTGTAGTGATGACAGTAATAATAGTTATGAAGAAGTAGATAACTATAGTGTACCTACTGAAAACGGTGACAGACCGCCTTTACTTACAAATACAACATTGACTGTTATGAGACATTGTGGAAAATATTTAAAAATATGCAATGTGTTAAAATCTATATCTGAAGATGTAGTAGCTAGTTTATGTCAGTTATTTGAGTATTATTTATATTCAGTTCATTTATTGTTTACCTCTGATAGTATTGTAAGTATTGATAATATTGATATTAAACATTCATATAATGGTTAATTCAGGTATGAGTTATAACTTCAAATACGAACAAACTTTAAAGCTGCCCACTGCAGACTTTTTTGAAAATTGAAGACCTTGGGGCAACAACCAGACGTCCTTTTTTCAAATTTTTTCTTTTCAAAAATGTTTTAAATTCCAAAAAAAAATTTTAGAATTTTTTGAAGATTTTTTTTTTGGAATTTAATATATTTTGAAAAAAAAGGACATGTCTGGTTGTTGCCCCAAGGTCTTAAATTACATTGCATGTCTGTTATGATAAAAAGAAAGTTCTCAAATTTTTTTTATTATTATTTTGACAATGGTCGTAAAAAGTATTTTTAATTTTTCTTGACACTTCTTTTTTTGTCATTGTTTTATAGTATTTTCGACCATTAAAAAAAAAAAGATAATCTCAGCTATCTCCAAAAAAAGTATTGGTTTTTTTTTTGAATAACAGACAGTCATTAAAAGTTGGCTTTTTCATGTTGCCCAAAATTTGAGAATTTTTCTCAGAAAGCTGATATAATTTTACATAAAATGTGAAAATTTAAAATTGGTTCTCTATAAAAACGCTTAAAAAATAAACAACAACAAGCGAAATTTCTCGAAAAAGTCGAAAAAACTACCACAGTAATTATAATAGTTAAAATTATTATGTGCAAAAATAAGATCCGTTTTTTGAAAAAAAAATACCCAAAAAATTTGAGAATATTTTTTTCATTGTAACTGACATGCAGACAGGTAAGTTTCAAAAAGTTCCGCGAGGGGGTGTTTTGCTCCAAATGTTTGTTCATATTTAGCGTTTTGACCCATACATATGTAGATGTATGTACATTTAACTTTTAATTATATTCAGTTTGCTATACTTTCAGCCACCGATTTGTGGAAATTTCAATAGCGTTAAGCTTCAATCAGTTATTAATAGAATTCATAATACATTTGTGCAATGTAATATTGAAAACGAAAATATTGAAGGTTCATTTGTAAGTTAACTAACATATTCACTCTTTTCTAATAAGAATAAGAATTGCTTTTTAAAGTTTTAACGTTTAATTCTTAATGTTTTAAATTTTAGGTTCGTGAACCTGATGCTGTTCATATGTTACGGCTAGCTGATGCAAATAATTTGTATGGGGTTTCTGAAAGAGTAGTTGCAGTGGAATCTTTAGTATTTTTAGGAGAACAATTTAAGTTATTACTTAATTACTTAAATTCATTATCAACAACCGATTCAGGAATTTATTCATTGCAACAATTTTATAACCAGGTAAAGATTTTAAATTTCTATCAATATGATATATATTAATTAATCTTAAATTAATGTAAGTATGAAAACAAAAAGTTAAAATAAAACAATGATCTGTATTATTATATTTCCAAAAAAGTTATCATATTCATCTGAAAGAACCATTGGTTTGAATATTGTATTAATGACTTCCTTCAAGTGCTATTCATTTTAAATTAGTAAATACAATCTTAAAAAAATAACAAATACTTTTTTACTTTTAATTTTTTGTAATTTTACATAATAATTTATTAAACATTTTCAATATTAGGACTAAAGGTTGGTTGACAACTCTTGTTTTTTAACAAGAGTTAATTCCTGGGAAAAAAGGGGGTTTAGGATGCGGTGATTTTCTTTTTCTTTCCACACCAGTCAGGTGGCAATTTCTTTCTCTGGACGGTTGCCCACCCAGGGAACAGAATGACTAATGTTCAAGACTTGAATCACGAATAGTGTGTAAAAACACTACAAGTTAATCCTCTCAGTCATAACGCCACAACATTTAATATTCTAGCAAATTTGTGATTTATGTATATATATGTTTAAAATATATTTTCCAAATACATTGTATACCACATTTTCCCACGATTTAGCACAGTTAAATATGCATAAACGTAAGGTTTAAAATATATTATTATTTTATATCGTTGCTTATTTAAAATCTTAACTTTTTCTTTATTTAGACAGTTGCAGTAGCTGTAGATCTACGAAAGCCAGTATATGGTCGTGTGGTTTGCAAAGCAATTGATTATAACCAAGTTCATAGTATGATGACTAAGGTAAATTGGGAAGTAAAAGACATCATGTGTGAACACAGCAGATATGTTGATTATTTTCTTCAGGTTAGTTCCTTTTAATGTGATTTGAAAATAAAAATTTATCACAGTTGTAAGAGTTAGCGATTAAGTTTAATCGATGGTATTGATGCATGGTCTGGATTTAGCCAATTGTTGGCAATGTAACACTTAGGATTCCAAACGTCAAAGACATTCATGTACAAAAAGTATTGGAATTTGGAATTGTAGCATCTCTTCTCTCTACCCTCTCCTCCCCCCCACAGAAAAAATCCCTTTCTTTATTATGTAAAATTATTATTTCTAAAATATTTCACTAATGTAGGTTCTTACTTATCAAGTGTCAAATTAATAGTAAATATTATTATTAAAACAATAACATAGTAAAAGTTAGATATTTTTAATGGAATTTTTATTGAAAAATAATTCAATAATCAATTATTTTATCAGTTTTTATTTCTTTTAATAATTCTGATTTGGTTTTTGGGAGTTTTCTCTATTTTGAAAGTTAAGGGATAAACTTTTTTAATTTTTGGCCTAACAATGTTCCTTTTTGGTACGATTTCTGATCTGTACAGTTGCTACATGAAGAAATTTGTAAATCGGTTAAAATATGTTGTGAGTTTAGACACAGAAAAATAAAAACATCATTGTAAGGTTGCTTTCACACACGACGATACAATGGGATGTCTGAGTATGGTGCATAATAGGTTGATTTTAATGAACTTCCACAAACCCTGATCTGATAAAAATTTCATAATGACAGTCCAATATTCTTGTAGCAGTCGTATTGATAGCTAAAAGTCGAATTGGTGTATACTGATAACGACATTATCGGATATCGGCATCTAATAGTATCGTGTGTGCTAGCGGCCTAAATTTTTCTTACTCTGCAACTCTGCTTAGAAGCTAAAATATATGTATAATTTATTTACTTTCAGGAGCTGCGAGCATTTTTTAAATCTCTTAAATCATCAACATCAAGTATATACTTAAATGAGCAAATATTAAATGCTATTTGGGAATCAATAGGCGTTCTTGTTTCTTCTGTATTTATTGAAGGGTAATTTGTAATGTTTGTATTTGTATTTTTTATTATATTATTATACACATTTTTTTTAACTTAGATTTTCATCAGCTAAAAAATGTTCAAATGCTGGACGTGCTTTGATGCAGTTAGATTTTACTCAATTTATGTCACAGATAAAATCAATTTGTGCTATTGGGCCGTTACCTTATAAAGATTTAGTTGAAGTTTATATAAAAGCATATTATTTACCAGAGACATCTTTAGAAACATGGACAAGAGATCATCAGGTAATATTGACTAAGTATAAAAAATATTTATTATGTTTGTTTTATTTAAAAGAATATGTCATGTTGCAATTTAAATTTGATGAAGTGTCATTTAAGTGTATTTTAGTTAATATACATTAAAATAAAACTGTTTTATATTTTATTAGATTTATTTCTTATAAATATATATCTTTTGTAAATGTTTTACTTAAGGAGTATTCACACAAGCAACTATTAGCAGTTATTAATTGTGTATGTCAAAATAATAAAAGACTTCGACAAAAGCTGACCAACTTACTAGAAGATACTATTCAAAGATAAGATTCCTTGTAATTCAGTAAATAATTAAAGCATGTTGTTTATTGTTTATATAATTAAGTTAATTAACAAAACATAATCGATTTTCTTACTATATTATAAACATATGAGTTATTACTTCGCCCTAAGATGCATTATTTGTTTTTTTTTTCAAGTTTTATTGATTGTTGTATTATAACTAGAATAATAAAATCTGGTTTGTCTTACAAATTATATATTTGTTGATTTTTATTAATTATACATTTAAAGTTTCAAGTAGGCTTGTGTATTATTTTTTTTTTTCATTTAGAAATTAGCTTTAATAGAAGCATTTAGTTAAATACTAACCTGATTTACAATTATTTTAAAATTGAAGTATAATTTAAAAAAAAACTGAATTTAACTACTAAAATATTATGATAAGAAATAAGAGACATGTTAAACATAACTAATCTGGTATCATAATAAAAAAGAAAACCTAACATTTACTAAGGAAAGTTTTTATTTATGAAGAAGTTAAGTGAAAATAATAAACAAATTCTTATTATAAATGTTTACAGATATTGTATATAATTTTCCTTAGTATTAATTTAAAAAGATGAAAAAATATAAATATATATTTTTTTACATTGTGCAAAATTAATAGTATAGTCAGCTTGTCAAAATATTTTTTTGTATTCTTCGACGTCTTAAATAATTTTGAATTTAGATTACCTTATAAATCCTTAATTTTTAAAGACCTAACCAATCAAATCAGTAGCACTACTATATCGTCAAAGTGATAAAAAAATTGTTGGTAACCGTGTTAGTGGTTTTGTAGGTATTACTTTTAAATTTACTTTTATTATCAAATATTATGTTTATTTTCATTGTAAAAACATAATAATTGGTTGTAAGAAAATAATTTAAATTCGTATTATATTTGCGGCAAATTGTTTTTTCCATGAATACTATTATCCTTGTATTCACATTATAACGTCATTGGCCACCAAACGCCATCTTGATTGTTTACACTATACACTGAGGTGTAGGAACAGTTCACATTTCACAGTATGGTCGAACAAGGCAAATACGAATTGTAATACAGTTGCCGCCTTTCATTTTTATCAACGATATGTTAAATGTTTTCCAATCTTAATTAAAATCTACCATTAGATTGACAGTAAGTCTCGAAGAATAATTATTATTAATTTCTTAACTCGTGTAGTGTGTAATGTGCATAATGGAAACTAATATGGACGTCAACGATCGCCATATATTAAAACAAACAACCAAAGTATTGTTAACGTTAAGTAACGTATTATTGCCTAAAGAAAAGTTGACGTCCACACCCTCGATGACTGATGGCTTAGATTTCGAGACCGAAGTTGACTTGAGAATTGTTGGTTGTGAGTGGATCCAAACTGCTGGTATATTACTTAAATTGCCACAGGTATGTTATAATTTAGATTAATAAACAGCATTATCGTTATTTAACCTTGAACTTGGAGTATGATGTTACGTTTTTTGCACTAATTTACACATAAACCATTTTATTCCCTATGTGCTAGGCTTATTATAAACATTAACATTTATGGAACAAATGCACTTTACCACCCCATGCCCGAATTTCGTTTTTTTTCTTCAATCGACTAGTTTTTCAATTCCGAAAACGTACCTGCGGCCACCGAGTACATCATTCGACGATCGCTGCTCTCAACATAGTGGGCGTTTGTTATACTAATTACGAGCGGCCCCCTCATCTACTTTACTATACCGGACACTCTTTTTTGGGAGGGGTGAGGGTGGTGTATGTAACTGATTTCGTCAATTTAAAAAAAACTCATTATTAAAAAAAGCAACTCCCTACGCCTGCCGGTTCCAGATAGACGTGCGGCACTGGGCGCGCGCGTATGTCGATATCGGCGATCTTTAAACGTCTGTAACTTCAAAACTAAGCGTTTCCGCAAATTTTTTTTGTACCAACGTTTTCAGAATTGTAAAACGAATCGATTGAAGAAAGAAAAAACAAAATTCGGGCGTGGGGTGGTAAAGGGCATTTAAGCCACATTTATTATTTCTATTAAAGAGCTACACAGACAATACAACTTGGTCGCTTCGACAGGATAATATGGTCAGGTTTGTTTTTATATCAGGTCATGTGTACAGGCATATTGACTAAAATCCTTTTGGGTGTTGTCAGTTGGCGGCGCCATCTTACCGTCTGACTAACTGACTAAATCGGATTGTCTGTACTATTGATGGGTGGATGTGACTTATCAGTTGTTCTTCAGACAATGTGTTAAGATTGATAAAGAGTTTGCTTGCAATGGCGATAGTAATAACTGAATACTAAGAAACACTGAAAAATGGCGCAACTGTTGCACAGTAAATTTGTTTTGCTATTTCGAAGAAATGAGAGTCATATTTGGTGATGCGCGCATACTAGCAAAGCAAAAACCAACTTATGAAGTCATACTGCAGCTCATCATCATCTGTACGCAACAACTGATTATGTTGGGTAGTCTGTCAGACCGACTAAATTGTCTTCTACAGACAATTTAGTCTATATTTAGAATATAACGATTGAACCCTCTACGGGTTCAATCGTTATATGTTCATTAGCCATGTCCCATGTACCTGATTGTGTAAAATATAACAAATATAATAATAGTCTCAGAAAAAGGGATTTATCACGCCCTCTCAATGAAATTTTATCATTGTAAATGTATTAACATTAGGTATAAAATAATAAATTTATCAGTTTGTTCAAATTTAATGTGTCAATCAAGGGTCACTGTTTGGTATCTAATTTATTTTTGTGCAACGTAGTATTATATTAAGTTGTATAAGTTTAATTGAGTGTATACATTTTTATAATTATCTGAATTATTTTTTATAGGTTGCTATGGCGACTGGTCAGGTTCTATTTCAACGATTTTATTATACTAAATCATTTGTTCGTCACCCAATGGAAATTACAGCTATGGCATGTACATGCTTAGCTTCTAAAGTCGAAGAATCGCCTAGGCGTATTCGAGATGTTATCAATGTTTTTCATCATATTCGCCAAGTTTTAAACCAAAAGTAAGTTAAAGTTTATTAAAACATTACATATAAAACTACTAATTAAAAAAAAAAAATCACAACTGACTAATTTACTAGATCTCTGTTTCATATATAAACATTTACGGATTAACCTATTTAGGTCTGGACTAGATTTAGTTACAAAATTATTGTTATAAACAATTTAAATTTATTTTAACCAACTAGTCCAACTTTTAGTATTTTAAACATATATATAATACATATGTATTTATTTAAATGTCAGCGATACTGATTTGATACATTTACACTATTTTAAAGTTGTTAACATATATAAATGTATATGTACTTTATTCATTTATATATAAACAGAATAAAAATTTTGATACATTAATTTCTACTTAAGGTAAGTTAAATTTTTCAATTTCCAGTAAAAAAAAAAGAGCACCCAAAGTATATTAAAAGTAGTATGGTATATTATATATACCTATAATATTTTTTATTATTTTTGAACTAATAAAACTAGTAAAAATTAAAAAATTGATGACAGGTTACAAGTTTATATAAAATATTATAACTAAAAGTTATAAAATTATTCTAGAAAACAATTCAATGAGGATCTTTAATTTAATGGTAAAAAAATTAAATGTCTAAAATCTTTTAATAGCCTTTATATATAAAGACAATATTGTGTTGACTTATAGTCTTGTTATTAGATTTTTTTTTCAATGAAGAAATTTCGAAAACAGATTATTTAATATAAAAAAAACTTGTTATAGCTACATAGTACATACTACATCTACCTTCCGTTTTATATTTAGATTCTTAAACCTTTTAATCTACTTGTTTTACATTATACAGTTAATAAAAAAATGTATGCATCAGCCTATGCATATATGTGTTAAATAATTGTAATATTTTCATTATTTTTAATTTTAATTTGTTAAAATGTTTTAGAATGATTTCTAGTTGTAATAGGCTTACTTTTTCTTTACCTGCAGCAGTCGCAAAGTACACATTCCAAATATAATTTAATACATAATTTAACAAATAGTGTGATGCAGGATGGATTAAAATATTTTTTCAGTATTTCAACAACTGTAAACTATAATATATAAAAATAAATTAAAAAGTAGAATCTATAATTAGTATTATTTTTTTAAAATCTTCTAATCTTATCACAATTCTTCAATCTAATATCAATTTCTTATTGTTTAACATGTGTATCAATATTATCAAATATTTTTTGTTTTTAGTATCTGCATATATTTTATCAATATTTATGTCTTAGAAACATATTTTTCATAAAACTTGAACATAAGTGATTATTAATATCCATATTAAATATGTATTAAGACATTTAACTTTATTCATTTTGTTATCAGTTTTGTATTTTTAAAAGATTTCTACAGATTGTTCATGTATTTATTATTAGCCTAACTATAGCAATTGCAACAAAAAAACTAAGCATTATTCTGGGACTATAAAATACAATTATTGCAAAAGGCATCCTGTTTATACTTATTATTTTTACATTTTTTTTAATTGAATGTATTTATATCACTACTTTTGTTAATGTGTTGTGTTAATGCGATAACTGTAGGGTGCACAAAATTCCTTTGATTTTGTTGCAGTTTATTGTTCTCATTTTACTATTACTTTTTATTATATAAACAAAACATGAGTATACTAAAGACTGTACATAGGTATATTGCCTCTGACAAATGACAACTAAGAATTCCAAAAATATAAATGCCGAACTATAAATATATTTATATTTTTTATAAGTAAATTTGATGTTATCTTATTTACTTAATTCATTAAGAAATAATTCATAAATTAAAAATTTACTTCTATACCATATCTTTCATTGTCTTCAATATCTTAATTGTTTATAAATTATTTTTTTCTCATCAATCAAATAAAATAAGAGTTTGTCCAAACATTATTACATTCTTATCCAAATATTTTTATATACTTGATATCGCTATTAATAATTATATTTCATAATACATAATACATTTTTTCTTTATTAGGATTTCATATAAATAAAATAACTTATTCAAACAATTTTAATACTGTCAATCTGAGATATCTATTATTTAGTTGTCAGTTGTTACACTACTGTTAGAAGAGGTAGTGTGATATATTATAGTACATACTCTAGTATATAGATGTTATTTTTATTAGTAACTGTCTTATTGCAACAAATTCAGTGGTTATTTATTGTTAAACCAATTACAATTTAGTATGTAAATTTACTTTATAACTTGCGTTTTCGCAGATACTTTCCACAGCTGACCGCCGGGTGAGTTGCCCTCGGTTTGAATTGTGGAGAGGAAAGCGAACGTGGTGGAATCACGTTGAAATTGATGATCAACACGTCAAGAACACTGGACCTCTTAAAAAAAAAAAAAAAAATGTTAAAAATAAATTATTACGTGGTTAATACAAATAAGCTATGTTAAAAGCTTTCCCTCCAATAAGAGTGTTAGGGTCTGTGACAAAAATAAGAAATTAAATAGTATGTCAAATTAAGAGGTATAGTATAAAAATCAATGTGCATAGCAATATTATGTACTCTAATTTAGTGATTGTACTTAACCATGAAAGTTTTGTATCAAGCGATCACAGAATTTACAGACAATTGGTTACTGTTATATGCATAATGGCAAACACCGGAATCAAGATAGCAAAGTGTGTGAACATATCATTTACAACACCTCGTAGCTTTACTACATCATCAAGGTATCTACACAATTCTTGGCCTTTTAAAGGATTTGGATAAAATTGGATGATTGAAGTGAATTTTGTTTTTAATATTTTTGTTTGAAGGTCAATATTTAGTGTTATAAACAGTATACAACACGGACAATCATTTTCTAAGTATTAAAATTTACTAAATGTTAAATGCGCGTCAAATGAAATACATCACTTAAGCATGGCATTGAAAAATGTGGTTTTTTAATTTTAATATTTGTACAATAATATTTTGGATTAGAGATTTTTTGAAGAGGTAAAGCAGTTATAATACATAACACGTTAACCAAACTTGATATTTTAACAACAAAAAATTAAGTATTATCTTAACTACACATTTTTAAATGATTATAATATATATACTCAATAAATAAGTGTTCTTATTATATTATTTCAATTGAATAGGGTATTTCATTTTATCTCCCAACAGATAGATTTTACTAATTTAATTATGTTTTAAAGACTTTTTTACATATACCTACTGTTTTTTGGATTTTAGACATATTTCTATATTTTTAGAATAGTGTTGGTATATTATTAATTATTTCTAGTTTGTAATTTTAAAATATTTATGTTTTATTTTTTTTAATCTGTAAAGTTATGTTTTGAAATTAAATTCACCGAACAGATTGTGGTTATTATGTTTAACGTAATTGGTAATATTACCATAAAAGTATTAAGGTATAAAATTAGTTTATGGTATTTAAAAAGAAACTGGACTAAAAACTAGTTAGTTGGTCAGTTGTGGTTAGTTATGTCTTGTTACTGCTCATAGAGTAAACATAATCTCTAGTCCAAAATAGCCCCCAAAAATGCCCCCCACCCCTGTTACAGATTAATTACGCCACTAGTACTCGACCAGAACTACGTTCAAAAAAAGACGCAGGTAATAAAAGCAGAACGACGTGTGCTCAAGGAGCTTGGTTTTTGTGTTCATGTAAAACACCCGCATAAACTCATTGTCATGTATCTACAGGCCCTGGGATTTGAAAAACATCAATCATTAATGCAGATGTCCTGGAACTATATGAATGATTCATTGCAAACTGATGTATTTGTTCAGTATGATCCTGAAACTATTGCTTGTGCCTGTATATATTTATCAGCCAGAAAATTACAAATACCCTTACCAAAAAATCCAGCATGGTATTCTTTGTTTAATGCAACTGAACCTGACATCCAGGACATCTGTCGCAAAATACTCAAGTTATACTTAAGACAAAAAGTTAGTATTATTTTTTATATGTTTGATTGCTTTTACAAACAAGGTTTGTTCATTATAGGTCATTACTGAAGACTTAGAAAGAAAAGTAGAGGCATTGAAAAAAGAATATGATCAAGCGAAAGAGAAGGAAAAAGCTAAAGCAGCAGCATTAGTACAAACTGCAAAAGTTCAGCCTGAAATTGTTCCACCTCCAACCAATGGTGTAGTTGTCGCTAGTACAGAAAATAATGGCCCAACAACTCTTAATAACAAGTAAATAGTGTTGTGTTAAATATTAAGTAATGTAATTTATGTGTAATAGTTATTAGGTTTATATATCAATAACTAAATAATCATGATATTATATTAACAAGTAATGTTTTGGAATTAATTATGTTTTGCTTTTTCATTTTATAGAAAACAAATAACAAAAAGAAGTAGAAGTAGAACACCTTCAGAATCAAAATCAAGAAGTAGAAGCCCTAGACACCCTAAAAAACAAAAAAAGCGCAAGTATGTTTAATTAAAAAGTTTTAAATATTAATATCTTAAAAAAAGAACCTTTAAATTATAAAAAACTTCTTTTTTTTTCACGTTAATTATTTTTTGTTATTTATCATAAACACTTAAAGTGTTTAGCATAGGCGTAAATTAGGCTTGTTCGAAGGGAAGGCTAAAATTTTAACCATGTCACATTTCTGCTGAGGACTTTGCCCCTCACTCTATCCATATTTTACAATTTCAAAACATAAATACTTCAAAATTATTTATTTAACAAAAACATACAAATGTTGATTAATTTATTAACTATACATATATAATCTATTATTTTTAATTTATCGTGTATATAAAGTATGTTATAATTTTTATGTCAAGTGAACTTACTAGTAAGTGCCTCAAATTGACATTGGTCCTTTAAGACCAACATACAAATTTATATTATTATAAGTGTGATAAATCTTTAAAATTAAAAATAGTACAAAAATTGAACAATTAGCTCATAACTTTAGCTATAATAAATTATAAGCTCTTGATCATATATTTACTTTTTTTTATAAACACAATAGTTTTTATCTTCATTATATTTATCATAATAGAACTAATGTCTCTTACTTTTTCTACATTCTACCCTTTGAAATCTTTATAAATATGTATGTGTTATTGTTAAAATTGTTTGTTTTTTATATTTATAGTCATGAACGATCTCGATCTAAGTCTACGTCAGATAGACGATCCCATAAACACCAAAGAAAATCACAAAAGAGTCATAAACGATATTCAAGTTCATCATCTGGATCTTCAAGTTCTTCTGGGGGATATCGTCGTCATAAATCTTCTAATCACAAGTATGTAATAAACATTACTTTCTATCTACCTTAATTATTATTAAATTAATCAGATGACTAAGAAGAATGAAAAGTTTTAGATTCTATTTATGTTGGAAAACATGTTTAACTAATCAATAAATCTGAAAACATGCCCTCTGAATTTTCTTTTCACTAACTTTATTTGGTATGAGCTGTTAGGAAGGTATATTTGTTACTTCTTTTGTATTATTATACGTATTTATGTTGTTATGAAATTGCTTTTTCTTTATTTGGTGAATGGACGAAAATACTAAGTAGAGAAAAAGCCTAAACACAATTTTTTAATTTAACAAGATACACTTAAAAAAAAAAAAATTCACATTGAAGTTACTGATTTAATCTAAAAAAAAACTTTATTATTATTATTAAAAACTTTATTACATTAGGGTAGTGCGGTAATAAGTTTATAAGTTTGTAATAGCAAAATTATATGGGACAAATATGTAGTTTAAATATTAATACCAAAAAAAAAAGAAGAAAAACATCTATAACAACCTGAGTGTGTCACAGGACACGTGGAAGTAGTTAAAACTTCAATTTTCAATGTGTTGTTGACAATTATAAGTATTATGCGGTTTTTAATTTTTCAAATATATGTAGTTGAATAAATTGCAAATATTTAAAATATGTACGTATTATAGTACTTCCGTATAGTTTTTAAACAAAAAATGTTGTACTCAATTTAAAACAATTTGTATACTTTGTCTCACAAAAGAAAGGCAGCGTTTTACGCATCTCGAATAAGACGTCTAGCACTGCTGGACACGTCAAACCCCCTCTACAAGGCCGGTTATTAATGAAAATTGTAGATGATGTCATCCGTTGGAGGAGTACTAGGCAAAGTGCGGTGTGAGGATGGGCGAGACATACTGAATTTTGTAATGCATCACTAAAGGCATTTTGTGGGACAAAGATAAATATATTATTAATTAGCTGGTATATATAAATCAATAATGCGTTTTTTTGTTAACCCCCCTTAAAGGTTTAACTTAAATAATTATTCGCTTATGTTAATTGTTCTAGAATGGTGTCACTTAGGTCTTTTCAACACAGATATCTTAGCTATTTATAATTGTGTAACTTATTTTATGTAAATATTATTTTTTTTACTGAAGCGCAATATGTAATGTAAAAATTTTGAATGTGAATTTTCAGATTAGTTCCCACGTACCGAGATTACAAAGATTATAAGGACTACAGGGATTATCGTGGTGATGAAAACTATAAATCAAAATCCAGAAGTTATAATTACTGGAAAAAATATTACAGTTACGAATAAGTATTTCACCTACGCTTCTGCCTAGTTCAAATTTAAAATATACCTAAGTATATTTTGTTACATAATATAATACGTCGCTCATTATGTACTTTAAACCTGGTGCATTTTTTTTATATTTTATTTACTATTTACTTACAGGGTAAACAATTATGTTCTAATACTTGTACATAAAAATCATACAGTAGTGATCAACATTAAGAAAATTGTGTATTGTATAGAAATCATTCTATTCAATTGTATTGTTTTAGTTTAAACACAGATATTAAATTGTAATATCTTCAAAATTATATCTGTATAGAACTGTAAATCAACTGTGATATTCAATTTCTTGATAAATAAGTATATAATAAGTTATAAGTTCAAGTTGTGTATTTTTTTTTTTTCATAAGTAATAAGAGACTTGTAAATTATTGTGTATTATTGTAAATATTAATTACAAAAAAAAAAATTGATTCATATTTTGTGTGTAATATGTATGATGCATATTTTATCAATAGTACTTAATGATCCATATTTTTTTAATTTATTATACTCTGTCAAAAGTATAAAAAATCAATTAAGGTTCATCATTTTTAAATTTTTTTCAATATTAGTAGTGTTCCTTATTAGTATACATATGTATTAATCATTCAATTCTAACTTTGATCTTTCAGAACTAATTAGTAAACATAAAATAATCGTATTATTATAGATCATTTAGAGATCGTTAAATCCAATATAAGTAGTAGAGGTCTACACTCGCAAGTGACCAGCTTAACTTGTTTATATGCTATAAATAATTAGTACTAGCCTGGATTTTGATTATAGAATCTAACAAATGTTGGGCCCGGTATCGTAAAATTATGCCTGGGACGAACTGAATCGTAATCTGATCCCCATGCACCCTCTTAAAATTGTACTTGAGAGTTGATTAATATTTGGCTGATTGTTCTGATCTATGAACAGCGTACAATATGTGCCAAATTATTGTGTATTAATTACCTAATACGTTATTAGTATAGTATAGAAAATTTTATATATGATCAAGACTTGGAGTTGTAAAGTTAAAGTGGTTCCAATTCTAAAAATAATAATCACGACTAAATATCTCATCTGTCAATTATCAACTTTCAGGCGTTATTGAACATCATTACCAAACTCAGTGGAGGATATATACCCCCCCCCCCATGGACCACTTTTTTATACTTTAAACATGACAGTTCATCAACATTGAAATTTTGAGTTAATCAACATAATATTTGGTAATTTTTACGTACCCGTTGAAAACAAAATTTTTCATCGAAAATATGTGCTGTGGTGATAAGCGATACCAAAGACATTAACCACAATTACACTCAAACTGTGGTTATATTGTTTAATTCTGTGATTTTCCATGATAGGCATGTTATCAGTTAAATGTTATTAGAATTTTAATTTTGTATCAGATAGTCCACTGTCGGTATTTTACATATTATTTTGTTCAAAAATACAAATTTTATATTATAATTTATAATTAATTAAAACAAAAAGCCGAGGTAGTATAATTATAAGCTGTATTCTTTAAAAATAAAATATAACTGTTCTCGGTTTTAATTTAACTGTGAAGTGTATTTATTGTTCTTGACTTTGTAGTTTGATTTTTATTCATGCATTATACTTTCTAGTAAGTATGCAAAACTTGTGGAAAAGTGAATTGCTGTTTAGCCATTTGCTAAACAAAACTAAAACGATTCATCAACAGCCAGTGAGATATACACGTAAACCCAGGTGGTTACCTATAGCTCCGAGTAAGATATTTCGAGTTCCTAAACGACCCCAGGTTTCTATTGAAGAGAGAAATGAACTATTTAATCTTTTTACAATGTATAGAACATGTATGAAATCAATAAAGTAAGAATAGTTGATGATAATTTTTGCACTGTCCTAAATTATTTTTGTATATTATTATATATTATTGTTAGAAAGCAGCTAGAAGAAGAGTTAGAAAAAACAGATACCGGTTATAAAGTACTCCAAGAAATAGCAAAAAAGGATGAAGAACAATGGGCAAAATGTTTGAGTATCAATGAAAATTGGAATGCTGAAATAGCCATATCAAGGGATCAAAGATTAGCGAGAAATAAGGAAGTTTTACGAAATGATATTATGACGCATTTAATAGAAAATGAAGAAGAAAAAAGAAAAAAATTGGAAGAAATTGAAAACATTGTTAAATTAGAAAAGGTATGTATGATGTATAATATATTTACATTTAATTTGTATTCATCTAACAACTGATTGTCAATGATTTTGTTTTAGGAGAAATCTAAGAACTTTATTACTATTGATAATATTGATGAGGCCATTGAAAAGGCCTTAGACAATGTGGTTGATCACAATTATGCAATAGATTTGAGAGGTAATATTTACCGAGGCATGAGTAAACCAAATGATCAGGAAGTAGAAAATAATAATAAAAAATTAAGAGTTCAAACAATTAATAATTGATACTTATAAGATTTTTTGTAGAAAAAAACTGTACAACTTGTATAAGTTATTAAGTTTCTAGATATTTGTTCAAAATATATTTTTTATGTCATAATAAAATGTTTTGGTTTTTGTTAAATAAAATTATCAAATGTGAATCTTGAAAAATCTTAATAATAATAAAGTATTTTAACACCATGACTACAAAACAATATATATATATATATATATATACACTCAACCAACTGGTAATTGATCAAACCATGGTAGTATATTGTCATGTGAGAACTAACACCACCTAACTCAATTTTTCCAACAAAAAAACTGATTAATTTCATTAGGAAATACCTTGTCTTTGTGTTGGTTTTTCTCACATTTTCAATACTGCGATCACAATGGTATGATGTCCATTCGATCGCTCAAAAAACTGAATTAGGAGGTTATAGAACTCGCATGACGATATATTATAGTTAACTTTGTTGTTCAACTGTTTAAGAATAGATGTTTATTTTTCAGTCGTATTCATTGTTAATTGAACGTTTGGACTTGGCTTAGTTAGATGAGTAAAATGTAGTTAATTTTTCAACAAATAAGCAGACTATCTATATGAAAGTCTGCGGGGAAAAAAGATTAATGTCAATTTTTTAACATTCCAAGAAAATCATGTTTTTAATTTCAAAACGTAATACGTTAATATGGGATTTTATTAATACATTTAAAAGGGTTGTAAAATTCCTAATTTTTTATTAGGGTTCTGCGTTGTTATTTTTTTTGTCCTCAGAATTTGTAGAAGACCGTTTACATTTTTAAAAAAAATTAACAATAAAAAAACTAGTACAGTGGGGTCGGGGTATAATGGAGACGGGGAGGTCACATGTTTACTGAAATTATTAAAACTGAAAGTGAATCATCAATCATAGGACTAAAAACCATTAAAATTGTTTTATAAAAATACCAGTTCACCGACACCCTTTTATATTGAAGTCAACTTTATATTTTTCAAATGAAAGCAAACTTTTTTTTTAACAGCCAGTTAAGTTACGATAATTGTTTTAAACTTAAAATAAAACCTCATTCAAATTGTGAAATCTTCAACGTTATCTCCCAATGTGATATGGAAAAAGCAATCCAGGTTTTTTGCTACCAAGAGTGGAATAGACTGGTTAAATTACAATTGTCAACTCAAAGAAATAAAACCGAATATTTATCCTTGGGTAAATCTCCCAATGTCTAGAAAAAATGAGGTAATTTTAAACCGATTAAGAGTTGAGCATACTAAATTAACACACAGCTACCTAATGAAGAAAAAAAACACCCCTGATATGCGATACCTGTGGTTGTCCCTTGACAGTCAAGCACATCCTAACTGAGTGCAGAAAATACAAGGAGACGCGCGATAGACTAGGCATCAGTATCACTGGACTCCCACTATGATGAAATACAATAGGTTATCCGGTTTGTGGAAATAACTGAAATTTCAAACTTTATTTAATTAAAAAATATCTTGTATTCTTGTTTTTTGTCTCGTACTGTATATATGTATATGTATTTGTAATGTAAATTATTTTAATTATTGTAACTTAATGTGAAATTATCCGAGTAAGCCAGTACAGTAGGGTCATGGCATAATGGTATCAAAGCATAGTGGAGACGTAGAGGTCACAGATCTATAGGAATTATTATAAATAAAAGTGATAAAATCACTTTTAAATAAACGCTTTCATGCTGATTTGTAAACACTGCACCACACTTTAATACTTTCTTAAATTGCTGGTTTAGACTGTACTGGTTTGAAAATACTAACTACTGATTCGCATCTAAGCTTTTATATGAACGTAATTTTATACTTTCAATTGTACTAATTCCTGTAAACCCGAGACCTCCCCGTCCCCACTGCACTGGCCTTTTTTTCAATTTAATAATATATTTAGAGTAATACTTTACAAAGAACTTGTTAGTGGACATGGGCAACTTTCGTTTGAATGTTGAATGTCAATATTTACCGAAATTTACAGTATATAATTAATTTTTCATGACTACGTAGCTTCTACATTTTGTTTATTTATTATTATTATAAGTTTTATTGTGTTACTATATTTGCAATCTTTCACTTGTTATCATATTTTTAGTATATTTTAAATAAAACATCAGTCTTATAATACATTTAAATAAGTTCCAAGCAACATTTTAGCTTTAGAAAATTTACTTAATTTGTACATTAAAAAAAACATGTATGGTCTGATAAGTCACATATTGACTTATCCCCTATTGAAGTAACAAACTCTATGTTTAATAACTTTAATTGGACCAATATTAGGCTATAAAAATTCATATACATCAATTTCATGAAGTTAACGGGTACTTGACTGGTCTTAAGAATGGGTTGTCAATAAGTTCTTCCTGCTTTACTTCAGATTCGTCAATATTGTTTTCTTCTTCATTTTCTTGATAGTCGTTTTCATCAAATTCTTCTTTAATCTTGACTTCTTTTTTTATTGTTACCTTTACTTCTTTGTTAGTTCTTGGTATGATATCATTGTCCTCATCAAGGTCTTCATCAAATACTTGATCGCTTGGTAATAGAGCTGATAAATAAGCTGGTTGCTGAGGTTTGTTAGCTATTACTGAAATATTTCTACTTATTAAAATTAATTAAATCTAAATAGGTAAAATTTTGTTCTTACGTGGAAAACAATCATTTTCTTGATTCAAAAATAAACTCTCTGTTGGACCAGTTTTTATTAAGAATTTAACTAGCGATTTTTCTAGTTCATGTTTTTGAATCGCTGATTTTTCACGAATGGCTTCATATTCAGTGACTGGTTGTTTATGGGTCTGTAAATATAAGTTAAACAAAGTTAACGATGTCAATTAAGAACAAAAATGTTAAAACACTTCTAAGCATTTACAACTAAAAAATTAGAAAGGTGCATTAGAAGATGTCTTAATTACAAGATTATCATTTCTTTTCTTAAAGAAAATATTTAAATAACATACTGGTGTTCTAATATATGCATGAGGATCAGGAAATGCAGGCATATGACTAGGCATGTAAGATGGATGTGGTAATTTTGATCCGGCTTGCAAGTTACTAGTCTGTCTTGGTTGTACTGAAGGTGCAGGACTTGGGAGAACTGCTCGATTTGACCGCTTGGCATAACTAATAAGACTTGATACATTTTTAAATATACCCATGTCAATTAAGCCCATCATCACATCAGCACCCAGTGGTTCAAGACGGCCAGCTACTTCAGCATATCGACGGCTACTATTTCCCATTTGAGATAACACTATAAATTAAGAAAAAAATTAATTAAATTAATTATTTAATGTAATTCAAATAACTGATATTAATCAATCAACACCTACTTAGCTTTATAAAAATGAAATCATTGGTTATTATTAAAAAATCAGTAATACCTAGTTGAAAATCTTAAAACTATAGGTGTTATAAGTAGGAGGTACACATTATTAATTGAAAATTCTACATATTATGCTAAATGTCTACCATCAACAATCCTTGAATATTATTTTTTTTTTTAACTAAGTTGACCCGTTATTATTTGATAACAAAATAACTACTATAATATGTCTTTATGATTGATGTATTTACATAATATTTAAACCAATAATCTATAGCTGTGTTGAGGTAAAGTAATTAAGCCATGAAAATTGAGTTGTCATTTATATCAAATACTTTGGTTTACATGCTTATTTAAACATATTTAGCATAATTCAAATCACCTAAAGCTATGTAATCACTAAATAACAAGACTTTTTAAATTGGTTTAGATGATTTTAACTCCATGAGTCAAATCGGTTTTAGGTCCTTATGCAAACATTATAAAAAAAAACGTTTTAATATTATGTTTATTTACAAAAGTATTAGACACTATATATACATTTATACTTATTACTTTTTTTACTAGAAATAACTAATAAAGAAACATATTCACTTACATGGAAAGATATTTTTTTTTATAGCTATGTCAGAATACAGTACATAAGACATTTTTTTTTACATATTTAAAATAATAAGAACTTAATCTAGGTTCTCTTTTCGGCTTTTTTTGATATTATTAACCCAACCAATTTATATTTTAATTCTGACATTGTTATAACTTTTTTAAGTGTTTATATTTAAAGGTAAATTAAAGTTTTCTATAAAAACCGACGAGAGAATCTAGTTAAAGTTCTCCTGTTTTTAACGGTACCAACATTTTTATTCTATGACCAATTCGCTTTGACCTAAACGCTTTACCGTAAACCCCTTTTTTTACGATTATTTTTAAAGGGTATAACGTTTTCTTAAGATGTCACCTCTATCCCAAAATGTAAGTAAGCACAAATTAACAATACAATGTTTTTTCTATTTAGAGCTGTATCAGTTTCATAAGGAGTACTATGTTATAAATTTGTTATCAATTAACAACTAGGTTAGGTCTTGTTAGGTTGCTTACCGCTTCAAAAACTGTAATAGGTTAGGTTTTTCTATTCGCTTTAGGTGAGCTATTTTTTCCTCTGGGGGTTTAATTTAATTTCTCGAATTGTTCTAAAATGCTGAAAACGATGGTGCGAAAAAAAATTGCATAAACGCTTAGTATTGAAGTTACAGCTACTTCAACTAAGAAAATTATTATTGCGCGAGCCACCCATGCCGTCCACCATCATGCAGCAGTCAAGGACGTGAATCGCAAAAACAGTAGTTTGTGGAATTTGTTTATAGTTTGCGATTTTTTATTTCCTATATAATGGTGTTTTTTATGCTAATTACGAATCCAAAGTCTGAATTAGGCAAAACTCCTAAAATTCAATAGCTGCTGACAGGACTCGGTCCCTGCCTTTCGTGGTCCTTCCACGGCTTCCAGAGCCTGCATCCACAATAGGTCGCGCCGCAATGATAGTTCAAGTAGCAAAAACTTCAAAACTAAGCAATTTTATTTTTGCACCATCGTTTACAGCATTAAAAAACAAATAGATTTAAAAAAAATCAAAATTCGGGTCTGGGGTGGTAAGTCGGTTTGTTCCATATTTAATAAATAACTAAAAAAACTAAACTTACAACTAAATAACATTTCAACGAGTGTTTCTAAAACAGCAGGCTCTGCAACATGAAAGCCGGTCTCTAATAATATTCCAGCTATAACTGTTTTCAAGAACTTCCTCTCCATACTTTTATCCATTGTTACAAAGTATGAACTATTTACTTAAATTTGAATTTTAATAAATAATATTATAATAATAATTTTTAATAATAGCAAATCAAATAAAATGTAAATAATAATACGTATTAAAAATATAACGTAATTAGTAATTAATTACTATCACTAAGTTGACCCTTGACTGAAAAGTACTGAGTAAATTATTGTACAAAATATCTTATGATCTGTACATAATATATTATTATTATGTCATTTGCAAACTCTTAACAAGCAAGTGTATTGATAATAAATAATAATTAAAGTACATTATTATACCACGCTTATACCGCTTATACAGGAACAAGAGTTTATGAACATAATCATCAACAACGGGATAACACAGTTACCACGAATGTTGCGTGCTACGATGTGATGTTACACCGACACTTTTGTTACGAATGACAATTGCTTCGACGACAATTGACACGAATACATTTACTACGAAAATATGTTGTCGCTATTTTTTTTTATGTCACGATTTACAGTTACATCTAAGTTTCATTTTTAATTATTGCTTCGAATTACATTTACCTCGCATTCCAGTTATATCGACATGACTTATCAAAAAATCTATGTTTTTCATAGCTCGATACGCAACCAGTCTATCTACAACCGTGCTGTAAATAAACGGCCTTAATTATTTCTTATAAATTCGGGACCGCAAAAATATAGTGGTCTCAATTGGAAATGTCATATCCATGTTTTTATAAATTGTTATCCATTATTTTTATTTTTAACGGTTTGTGTTAGTAGCATAGAGTAATTACTCAATGGTTGATACCATCGACCTATCTTTATAGGTCTATGGTTGATACGCACGTGTCCATGATAACATTATCGGTGGTTTAATTACAGATTAAATGTGTACAGTCTAATCTGTAATTTAGTTTGATATACAACTGACAACAAAACAAAATTCAATATAGTACATTAGGTATATTTTAATTTTTTTGTCATTCGGTGACTTTTTTTTAAAATAAATTAAGTGATTTATACATGGAATATTTCAAAAGCGGATTAAAATCTGTGCTAGGCACGCCTGTAGTAGATGAACAGCCATCTGGTGCTGATATTGTATGCTGTTATATTGATCTACCTTATATTAATCATAAGATTAAATTGTAGGTTGATTTACTTGTAGGTTGAACGACTAGTTGAACGTGTCCAGTATTCAACATTGTTAGCAGACAGACGTGATGCGTGCAGAGCACTCAAAGCTTTATCTCGGAAATATCGTATTGAAGTGGGTGCTAAAGGAATGGATGCTCTATGCCAAGTTTTACAACAAGACCGGGCTGATGCTGAAATTGCTAGTTATGTTTTGGACACATTAAAAATTGTTATGAATAATGAAATATATGAAGAAGAAGGTATTTTTAAAGATATTTTTTATTTTAATTATGATAACTGAATTTGAATATCGTCTGCTTAATTCATATTTAGGGATAAATTTATTTAACTCCCAAAATTTTTATTACCCCTTCAAAATATGTTTTTTTGCACCAGTCATTGGTGTTTTCGGATTTCTTATCACACTTTTGAGTTGTGACCAAAAAAACAATTTAACAAACTGTTAAATGTGCTACTAATATAAATATGTACGTGCGCTGAAAATTTTCGATTCCCCTGCCTATCATTGTCATTTTTTTTGTACTATGTAAAACTTTTATTCTATTAGTTCTATTCACCGACTGCATCGTGTTTACCTTTACTTTTATAGTTAGTGCTTGAATTGGAAAGGATGGGTTTAGTTAAGATTCATTAGGACAGTGTCTGCTTGCAAAGCAATATCAGATTAGTAGGAAAGCAATTTTTCTTTTGGGTTTCAGGACCAGGGCGAAAGCTTCCACCCGAGAGTACCACAGATTTAGGGAATCTATTATACTAAAGATCGCGCACATGATCCTTATTGTGTCCCGACCGCTATAGGTCTCTGCTACTAAATAGTTAATGAATGCAGCTTGGCGCAATGAGTTTTTTCAGCTATAACTCAAAAAACAAGTGTGACCAGAAAAATCTGAAAACACCATACTTTTAGCATAGAAAAAATTACTTGGGAGTTTATCTAGATTTGTTCCTGTATTGGTCTCAAATTCAAAAATGTAATTTCTGAATTATACTAGTTCTTTAGGTGAAAGATTAATACATCTTTTAAAGTTATTCTGGCTCTAGTCGGACTGTTATTCATCCTTAAAAATCAGCTATTTAATGTTTTTAGATTAGCTATAATTATTCTAAAAAAATTGTCATTTTTAGTTTCAACTATAATTGTCTATTATACATTTTTTATTTTAAATTGTTTTTTTTAATAAAATAAAATTGAATATTTAGCTAGAGTACTGTAGAACATGATTTTATTATTGGTTTATTTTAAAAATTTTTCTTGTCACTGAATTTTATTTTGTAGAGATACCCGATGTCACTGCTAAAGATTCCCATAAGTTAGGAGAACGTTTTACAGAAATATTTATAAAAAAGCAGGAAAATGTTGGATTAATTTTGGATTATTTAGAAGAATTTGATTTTCATGTACGGTGGCCAGCAATCCAGTTGTTGTTATTGTTACTCACTAATAAGTAAGTTAAATTTTAGTTTAAATCTTTAACTGTTATTACTGAATGATAAAATTATTAATGGGCAATAAATTATGAATATAGGTTATGTACTTTTTAAGATAATTTTTTTAATCTACTACATTCCTTAAACTATTATATAATATTTTTTAAAAAAACCTTATGAATCTAGTTTAGTACTATAAACGTATAAACGAAACCTAAACGTTTAGGTGTACAGTTACACTTTATTATAAACCACGTGACAAACGTAACAAGAACAAAGAACACTGCCATAGATGTGAACACAAATTAACAAAGACACACACTACGACCAAATGATGGCTGACTACTGACTAGAGACGTGGGCATCAACAGCGCCCTGATCCGGCTGTAGCGCGGCGAAGGTCATTAATCCCCACCTAACGCATTAATTTTGAGAAAATTGCAATTTTCAGATTTTCCCCTTTACTTACACTATAAGAACCACCTTTGTGCCAAATTTCACGTTTCTACCTATACGGGAAGTGTCTTATAATTTTGATGATGAGTCAGTCAGTCAGTCAGTAACAAAAATGCAAATTTTCAAATTCTCCCATTTTAAAACGGCTAAATAATTAAGGCTTCAATTTTTGACAGTGTCCTAAACTATTTAAGCTTAATTTAGGTTTCAAATTTTAAAAGCCCATCTTAAGAAGTAACAGAGATATGAAAGTTAGAAATACCGGGTGTATTGGTTCGTGTAAAGATACACTGGCATTGCTAGAACTTGACCTGCGCTCAGATTTTAAATGTGAAATATTTCATTTAAATTAGGCAAAACAGTTTACTTTTACTAGTCAAACAAATTTTTTAAAGTTACAAGTTTGTACTAAGCTAAATTGATTTAAACATTGCATAAAACATATTTTAACCATTGGTTTTTGAATATTTAGTCTTAAAATATGCTAATAAACTGCACTGTATTTGAAGAGAAGCAAGTACCCTATATGGCTTTGAGTCTCAAATTATGACCGTAATACGACTTATTGGGAAGCGATAAAAAGTGGGGTCTTGGGTTGTATATAAAGCTCTGGTTATGAATATTTTAGTAGCATTAATATTATAAATATTTTAAATCCTATTTTGATTAAATATAGATCTAAAGATGTACAAGAAATAATTTTGGTCAGTCCTATGGGAGTTTCTAAGCTAATTGACATGTTGAGCGATAGCCGAGAAGTTATTCGAAATAATGTAAGTATTTTGAATGTTGTCAAAAAATATTGCTGTTTTAATAAATTTTAAATATTTTATATTGAGTCAATTAAATATGTTATGCTTACATATTATTTAGGTTATTTTGTACAGAACTTAATAATTTTTATTGTAATGTTTTAGTCAGTACTTTTACTAACATTACTAACTAAAAGTAATGCAAATATACAAAAGATACTAGCATTTGAAAATGCCTTTGATCGCCTTTTTGATGTCATTAATGAAGAAGGCAATGCTGAAGGAGGAATAGTTGTTCAAGACTGTCTTAATTTTATGTTATCATTGTTGAAAAATAATATTTCTACCCAAAATTTCTTTAAAGAAGGTTTGGAGTCCAGTATAAACAGATAAAATATTTATAATAATTTGTTTATAATTTTTATCTAGGTAATTTTATTTCAAGACTTCTACCTTTATTACATTTGCCAGCTGATGATGAATGGCCATTTCAAAGAGTAAATAATGTTCACTCTGTTCTTCAAGTAATTCGTACGCTTATTTCCCCTACTAATCCAGCTCAAGCAACTTCGTCATGCCAGCAAGCTATGAATACATCAGGAATTTTAAAAGCTATGTGTGATTTACTAATAGCCAATGGAGTACCCAAAAATCCTTTAACAGAAGCTATAATTACTGTGGCCGAGCTTATTCGTGGAAACAATGATAATCAATCATATTTTGAAGCAGTGAAGTCTAACAGTTTACCATCTAAGTATATTTCAAACAATTATTTCAATATTAAACTTTAATTAAATTCTTCTCTTTCTAAACATTTTTATTTAATAGAGAAGTTCTTGTATTATTGTTGTGGTCAATGTTGAACGATAAACAACCATTTGATATGCGCTGTGCTGTCTTGTATTGTTTCCAATGTTACTTATACAAAAACGATATTGGCAAAATGAAAATAGTAAACAAATTACTACCTACTGAAAAAGAAGGTAATTAAAACTAAGATAATATATGTGTATATAAATGTTTTTTGTTAATTGTTAACTATTCATATATTAATATAGTTGCTGAAACTTGTGCTAGTCAACTTTTGTGCCAAGGTTTGTTTTGTAAGGAGCCACTGGGCATTTGGTTTTCATCAGTAGCACTGTCACACGCTCTTATCGAAAACCCAGATGGAAAAGAAAAATTAGTCAATGTCATGTTAGCCTCTCAACATGAAAATCCACCTACTTTGTTGCAACAGATTATGATTTCTATACAATCAGTTAGTTAGCTTATATTATTTTATTTAATGTAAAATTATCTGTGTTTCTTTTATTTTCAGACTGATAATGCACAAAGCAAAATTGGATATTTAATGTTTTTGTCAACATGGTTTTCACATTGTTCTCTAGCTATTGGACATTTTCTAAAAATTAATAATGGTATTCCATATTTTATCACTCAGGTTAGTTACTTGTACTTATAATAAAAAACTAAACTATATTCCATGGGAGAACAGGTCTGTGTAGTATTGTTCTCTTGTTAAATTGAGTATAGTGTTAATGACTAATTGGACTTATGTTTCTGACATACACATTTGCAGATTTATCAGTTATCTTTTAATGGTCAAAGAAATGACATTGTTACCTTTGAATTTCAGGCTAACCGATTGGAAAATGAAGAAACTGAGGAAATTGTTAGTGGTTTGAGTACTTTCATCATGGGTTTATGTTTAGCGTTCAATCCGGAAACTGTGGATAACTTCAAAAAAGTAATTGCTTAGTTTAAAACTATTTTGTGTACTTGTTGTAGTCGCTGTTTGTCGCTAAAAGTCATTTACCCGGTTTGTCCAAACTATTTATTATGGTACTTTGTAGGACAACCTAAGACACTTGGTTACCAAACGAATTGGTATTGAAACGTTCGTGGACAAACTTAACGATGTGTCTAGAAATGAATCTTACACCAAAGCCAGCAAACACCCTCAACCTACAGCAAATGATCACACCGGTCTGCTCTTGGACTACGAGTTTTGTAAATTGTTCAAAATGTTGGAAGGTTTGTAGATGGGCGTGATCCTACTATAATAGTATATCTTATTCAATTTCAACTAAAAAAATTATGTTTTATTATTTAAGGAATGGTGATGAGAACGTTAAATACACAACCCGAACAAGAAGAACACGAAAAATCTTTTGTGAACCTAAAGCAAATTGAAGAGCTCAATGTTACTGTGGAAAGTTTGAAAACCGAATTGGCGGAAAAAACCAATAGGATTGAAGAACTATGTAGGTTAGCCAATGATTTTAGAGACGACACGGATCGGTTAAAAGCAGAGGTGAGAACCTAAAAGTTTTAGTATATTCCCAAAAAAACCTAGCAATACCATATTTTATTAAGATGTGGTTTTCATAGTTGTTTAAAATTCAAGAGAATCACATTGCTTTAATGCATGCTTACCAGCAGAAGGAGAACGAACTGGAATCTTACAGACGACTACTTGAAATGCACGGAATTTGGGTGAGTGGAGTGTTAATAGTAAAAAATATCATGTTTGTATATATTTTACAGTACTTGTTGATTCCTTTATATTTCAAATTTTACTTCTAAGTAGTTCATGAAAAGGCAAGCATTTCAACTAATAAAAATGTTTATAGTCTATAAACCGATGTTGACGTAAGGTTTTTTTACTGTTTTATCCATCTTATAAAATAATATTTTACAAGATGGATAATTAAAATAGAATTTTAACTTATAATTAGATTTAAAAAATTAAATTTATGCTGTAATAAGAGTGGATATATGAATATTTTTTATTAATGTTTTTAACCAGTCATTTTTGTTTCTTAAGTAATATACTACAAAATCAAAGTCTATAAGCCCTGTAGCAAGTTTTCCTCTTCTTAAACAAGAATAATTGTCAACATTTGATTACTTTATTAGTCGTCATAAACGATAATTTTCATCTACCATTTTTAAAGAAGGTTCCAATTCAAAAAATGTAATTTTTACATTCTCTTGATACCAGGCTGGCACATTTCATGTAGGACATGCGTCAGAAGTCTACAGGGTGATTTTTTTATCATGAGCCACTTGATATCTCATAGGGTTTAATAAGAAATTACAATTTTTTTTTCATATTGTTTTATACAATGTGATCTCAATTTTTAAATATTTTTTTTGTTTTTACCCCCCTCCCAACTTAGTTTTTTTGATAGCAACTTTTGAAACTTAAATGGTACCTAACGTATATATTTTATTAACTTTTTAAATTGAGAATAATGTACTAAAAATTTTGACTGGTCGATAACCAGTTTCGGATAACTATTTTTTAAGTTTTTGAAGTTTCAAGTTTAAGGCAGGAGGAAAGGTGGAGTGTAGTATTATTTTTATCTGCGCGCATTTTCCAACCGCACTTCCCCTCCCATCCCAATTTTAAAACTCTTATAACTTATATACGTTACCATTTAAGTTTTAAAAATTGCTATCAAAAAATATAAACGCATAAAATGTGTATACATTTTATTTTAATAAAAGCTATTATTATTTTATTGTTAATGATTTTGCAGTTATTCGTTAGTACATTGTATTTTTTCTAGTGTAGGTCATACATCTATTTAAATTACGATTCTTAAGTAAGATTTTGAAAAGTAGTTTGTTGTTTCCCATGTATAAGTATAACACAAGTAGTTTATAATGTTAAATAAAACATGGAACGTTATTCTCGAAACTATAAACATTTCGTTTTAATATATAAAGGGTTTCAAATAGAATAATACTGGTTAATGTAATTCTCTAAATCATGCCGATTGTTGTATTCACTTGGTGTGATAATGTTTCAGACTGTTATAGTAATTAAATATTTTTACGACCGTCGCGTGAGCTCGTGATCCTAATATGAACAAGTGCACATCTAAATGCTAACGGTGTTTGTTCAATAAGTGTAATGACTTTTATTATTATATAGCAGTATAAAATAATTAATGAAAAAATGATTCTCTTGTTCGGGACGGGGAGTAATTACTCAGGGTTAGGATTTAATTTATGTCAGGATATAATATCTAAAGAAACATTAATTAAAGGTGGACCTTTAAGGCCGTTTTTTTAAGTATGCCTAAGCGAAAACAAACAGAAAACCAAGTTAGTTTAGATACGCGTTGTACAAGATATAAGCGTTTTAAATGTTGTTTTTCTAGTAAGTTGAATTATACTTTCAAAATATTCTTAGACAACAAGCGATTCCCATCAGGAATTGAAATTAAAAAAATACAAATCTCTTCAAATGAAATGCCCAATCTTTATAATAAACATTTAAGTACTTAAAGAAGAATTTCAATAATAATAAATAAAAATTTAAGTGTGCCTTTTTCATCTATGTCAATTACCGTATTTTACTGGAAAATACGGCAAGACATTTAAAATTGAGTTTCGGTTTGCGGGTCAACTCATCTACCGTGTAACGATGTAATACTTACATTAAAGTTTTAGTATATACAGCTATAAAACAAATTTTTTGTTCGAACGTTTACTGTTGCATAATTAAATATTTACACAGTAGTTAGTACATAAAATCTGTAAATAAAATATTTAACACGGATGAAATATTTTGTAATATTATTTAAAAAAATTGATTACAACAAGAATAACTAAAATGACAATATAATATAAGTCGAAAACATATTTAAGTCATTATATAAGTAACAAAATATAATTACACTTCATACGCGACCGCATTTCCTAGTATGAATATTTAAAACCACTCGCTCGGTGGGTATTTTTTAAGGTTTAACTTAAATATGTCTTTTGTACGATGTACCAATGCCCGAATTTCAATCCTGGAGCGGGTCTGACTAAAACAGTTGTTTTTTTATAATTATTTTTTCTCGGATAATAATTACGAGTTTTGCCGAGTAGATATGCATTTAAAGTGCTTTTTTAAAACATCGAGCTACTATTTGAAAACAACTTTAATGGTCAAACAGAATTACGTATCACGGAATTGTATTATTTATATAATTTTATAGTATAATAATTAATCTTATGTGCGTTCCAGTATGATAATATATTAACTCTTTTCAGTAGGTAATATGTGCGTTGGTTTTGTCCATGAGCTCTCATTATTATGCGAATATTGTGTTGTTGTCGACAATAGTTTATTCTCTCACTCGTTATATCTCTTTGACAAGCACGCACAAGGACTGTCGTGATGTGATTACGTTCGAAGGTTGTTATAGGGATACTGAATGATCTGCTTTTCAGAGGGGAGAGTTGGAAATAGTCCAGGTGTAGATCCGACTTAATCCACCTATATATGGATTTTTTTATTTCGCTTTTAATCCCTTTGTGTCGACGACTAACCACTCCTACTTCGTACCCTTCGCCAACAAAAATTTTTTTTTTGTTTTTTTAATTACCTACTTTGTACTTAATATGTATAATATTTAGGCGCAAGCGTAATAGAGAGAACACTCAATTTTTCACATTCGGACTTCGATTGACATTTGTAAAACACAATTTAAAAATAATAAATTATTATGAAATTTGTATAATTATTACTAATATACTACTTTTCTGACAAGCTCACACTACGGCTGAAAATCTTTAGTAGTTTTATTTTAAAATATAGTTAACAATAATTATGTCCGTGTTTTTGCATCTTTTTTATACGATGATAAAAAACAACAAAATAATGTCCTAAAAACCCTTATACATATAACTATTACAACCACGTATAAATGGATGTTCAATTACATTGCTGCCATAATACTTAATAACGTACAAGTACAAATAATTTATTTTTTTAATTATACACTCATAAAATGTTATTATGTATATAACATGTTTACATATTATTTATACGTAAAGTTTCGTAAATCGTAGCAAGGGGGGGGGGAAGAAAATAATTTTTTTTAAATACAATAATAAGGGGGCATCCAAACGGTCGACCGTTGTAAAATTATATATTTTCCCTTAGGCTCTAACTACTGCCCCTCCTAAATACATTTCTGGCAGCAGTACTTAGTAATTATATATCTTCTATAATATTATAGACATATACAAATCAGCCGTTTAAGTTTTATTTTAAAAATGACTTCATCATAATACCTTAAGAGGACGCCGCCACAACACCCATTTCTTAAGGAGTAAAGTATCTTTCGCAAAATTTCAATTTAGAGCTTAAATTATAGTTTATACTTATAAATAAAATAATAACTAATGAAGGTTCCTTAATTGTTGTTTTTTTTTATTTGTCAGACTCACAGTCGCTCCTAAAGGAAAATTTACCAAATTTTCTAAATATATAGGTGATTACACATTATAATAATAATACACATTGTGATGTAGCGTTTTTATTTACTATTTTTTTTACTTCCTAATTTTTAATTAACAAATGAAAAAATTTTATTAAAAAATAAATAATTTGGATTGTGTTAAGTTACTAAAAAACAGAAACGCTACGCTAATAAGAAGTTGCCTTTTCTTACTAGCATCAAACAGAAAGGCATTCGTTTACTATTTATTAGTTTAATAGGGTACTTCCAACTATGCGTAATGGAAACTTCTCGTTAACTTCTAACTTTTCGGTGCTGTTAGGGATTGTCTGAGGGCATAGTCCCCTGGTAATTAGTGTTATCTTCAAAATAAGGTGTTTTTTTGTTTGTTTAACAAAACGACCATTTTTAATAAGAAATACATAATTTTGAAGTTATGACTACTTGACTTGTGGTCACAGAAATGTGTGTCTGTAACCGATGGTGCCAAGTAATTTGTTTAATGGTAATTATCTTTTTTCAGAATGATCCTAATCCTCAACCGGAAATGGCGTATGTACCACAAAACAATGATCCGCAGCAACCGCAATTACAACAGTATGAAAACGGTGACATGTACCAACAGCAACAAGACCAATCAAAACAACAACAACAGCAAGATGAACAACAGCCGGACCAGCAACAACAATTACAACTACAGCACCTAGCCAAATTGTTCAGAAACGACTTAAACGTGTAAAAGAATAATATTGTCCGTTTCAACCTTCGTTGTTTTTTTATAATGTATTATAAAAAGAACCAAGAACTGTATCTTTATACTGGTAATTTTTTTTTTAATACTTTGATACAGATTTTAGGCTTCGATATTTATTTATACATTTTTAACGATTTCTTTATTGCGTTAAAGGTATTTTAAGAAGAATTTTTTTGTTTTTTTTTCAGATTTACTTATATATTATTTTATTGCTATTTATTTATTTTTTTGTTGTTGAATTTTTATTGAACGTTTCCGTTTGCGTTCGCCAATTACCAAACGCGCGTAACGTACCACTGCACTGCCGCAACTTCACGGATCGCCAATTGAATTTAATTACAAAAACGGCTTCGTATATATACTTTAGGCGACCTCAGAGAGCAAAAATGAATTGAGCGACCAAACAATTTGATTTTCTAACGCCATTCTATAATTGTAGTACCCTATCAAAAGGCTGTGTCTCGTTTTTTTTCTTTTCTCGTCACGGTGGTGGTCATCGTATTTACTACAATATACAGATGCTTAATGTCCACTCATAAACGCTTACTATAATCATTTGAAACCGTCGATTTATTGACGGCCAATGTTTTTGTGTAGTGCGAGTATATTGTTTTTAATCATTCGACAACGACAACTACCTGCATTTGTACGACACACTGTACTCGCGTATTGTATATCATATTAAATGTCATCACTATCAGAATAATATTATATAGTTCACACTGTGTGTCGCCTCCTTCCTTTTGTTGTGCAATCTGTTTGCTATTTTTCAAGCGAGCGCCGTGCAGTTTTATTTCCTATCATTGGTGTGCAGCATTTTTGCCCTTTAACATTTCAACCCTTTAAGAGGATGCTACATTACCTGTATTATTTCAGCCTTAAAACTCGTGTGGGGGACAATATTTTTCGTGCTGTATTAATGGTAGAAACGCAACATTTTTACAGTACGCAGAGAAGAACTTATGTTATGACTTATCGTTTTTTAGTAACCTAAGCACAATCAAAATAATTTATTCGTAGATTATATTTTTTTATTTACTTATTAGAATTTAGTAACTTGATATTGAAAGATAATAAAAACACTACGACACAGATAAAGTTTTCATCTATGTATTTTAAAAATTTGGTAAATATACTGTAAGTACTGCCCTTATAAGCCTGTCTTGCAGAAAACAGTTTTGATGAAAACAAACTATATTTTTTCCTGTGAAAATGATAGTCTAACAAAAATAAATAACCAATAAAGATGTTCATTTCCGTATTAATGAGTAAATACTAAAACTTAAGCTCCTAATTTAAAACTTGCAAAATATTGCCTATACTTTACTCCTTGATTTATATTTTATAATCTCCTTTTTATAACACTATTAATACGGCACTGATCGTTTTTTTGTTATCACTTTGGTCTTTATTTTATATACAACCCTAAAGAACTATCGTAAGTCTAATTAATTGTTTATTTTTTATTGTTAGTTGTTACCTATATTTAAAGTATTTATTACATTAGGCGATTTAAAACAATGCATGTATATTTAACTAGTAACGGACACAATGAGTATTAGTTTTATTTAAAAATAAAAATAAAAATAATTTTCTTGTCAAAAAAAAAATTATTATTATGAATTTGTAAAAAGTTATAGGTATAAAAATTGAATAAAATACTTCCTAGCTGAATTATGTTTATCTCGATAAAAACCTCAACGTAGGCCAAAAAACAGACAAAGATTGATAATTCATATTTCAACCTGAGAATGAAAATGAGAATCATCAACTATACTACATTCCATTATGTCCATTACTTAGTTAATTACCCAATATTTAATAAATAATTATTTTTACGAGTATAATGAGATATTTTTTACACTCAATGTAATAATGTTATATAATAATATATTTTTGTAATAACCTAATTGAAATGATTAAATTAGCATTGTATTATATTAAATAGTTTGATATATTCCCAACAGCCACTGATGTGAGATGTCGGTAGTGCAATAGACTAAATAATTAATAACAAACTATAGACTGTAAGTACAGTCTATAATCAATACTGTACATCGCCAACGGATAAATTTAAACATTTCCTTTTAGATATCATTCTCCAGAATTATTGTCATTTCGGTTTTCATAATGCCTCATGTCATTATATAAATTTCAATGGTAAGAATTACTTAGAATATTATGTTTAATTATTATATGGGTTTTGAACACCATGTTAGAGTTTACTCTTTTAAGACGTATCTACCATGAAAAGCAATACTTTAATATGATAAAATCGCGTTCTATTGAAAACAAATGTATGTTATACTACTATCTGCAATTCATTAAAACGTGTAAATAAACATGTGTCGGAAAAAAAAAATCAATTCAATTAGAAATAACCAAGAAGCGATCAGACAAGATCAAAATTTTGAGTTTATACTTAGATACTGACTGGGCGGTACGTGAGGATAGTACACCTATTTGAATAATATGACTATTTTAATGATAAACCGTTCGTTTCTTTCTATAAGCAAAAATACAAATTCAAGGATACGCCTTCATTACAAGAAATGATAGTCGGGCCTAGTACAAAAAAACATATAATATTATGATAGGTGTGGGATGTTTTGTTTTCAACATTAATTATTTCTACAAGGTCGTTTGTAAAATGTTACCTGAAGAAAAAAGTAATAAGGCCACTCCAAGCATGAACATAATATTGTTGTTGTTCTTGTATGTAGAATTTACTGCTTTGACTACAGTTCCCTTCTAAAAAATTTTCACGAATAATATTTCAACTTCAATTTACTTTATATTATAAAAAAAATTTAAAAAATAATTTTAGGCAACATTGTATACCCTTTTTAACTGGGTGATAACTGGTAAATGGTAATATGTATAAATTATAGTTGTTCAATACAAATGTATTCATATTAAATAAACCTTCGAATAGTGACGTCTCTGACCACGCTTTATCTTTCACATATTTTTTCAAATAGATTTCTATACTTTTTAATAGTCAATTAATTCTAATTAATCTTGAATCCAAAAGCTATATCTAAATAACTAATATTTATAACAACAAAATAGTAGGTATTATTATTATTCCTTAATCATAGGGCCAGTGCAGCCTGATTTAGAATTTTTGAGGCCCCGGACAAAAGACAAAAATTAGCCTATTATTATTGTAGTACTAATTGTAAATTAAATTAAAATGATGAAATCTAGTAGGTGGGCCCCTGATCCGCATGGGCGCAGCATAGGTCATAGCCAAGAGTGCTGCTTGGGAACTTCAAACCTATTATGCTCCGCCTTTGTTATTAACCAAATTAATTACCTGCAAAATATTAAATATACTAGATCCTTATTTTTATAGAAATTAAATTTTGTGTCAATAAAGTAAAATCTCCTGTAAGTAAAATGAAATATATTAAATTGAAAAAAAAATATTTATTCAAGTATTTTACGAGATTTAATAAAGACGTCTGAATGTTTTTTTTTTTTTTTTTTTTTTTTATTAAAGAGTATTTACAATCTATGCTGCAAGGCATAATAAGCAAATAGTTACATTGTTATATATACAGAGAGAGGGAAAAAAAAAATAAACAAATAGAAACGGTGATTTGATATGAGGAGGGAGGCTATCCAGTAATAGAACCCAACGTGATTTTTGTTCTAATTATTTTTAATTAGATTAATTTGAATTATTGTATTAACAGATCTCGACACCAATGTCTTCGGAGTCGGCGAGGTGGATTTCCGGGGAGTGAATTAGAAGCAAGTTGAGATATTAAAGGGTTAGAATGAGTGTGTAATTTGGAATGAAATTTTTTGTAGTGTTTTATGGCTAAGTGGTTTATTGGTTCTATTTTAAAGTCATTTTGAAGTGTGCAGTTTGATACATACCATGGGGCAGAAGAGATAATACGTAGAGTGATAGATTGGAAAGCTTGTAAGGTACGAAGTTGGGATGGTTTTGCACATCCCCAAATTTGGATTGCATATGCCCAAATAGGCCTTAATAGGGATTTGTATATAATAATTTTATTGTGGAAAGGTAATTTTGATTTGAGGATTGGACGTAGTAAATGGAGTCTGCTGTTGAGAATTTTTCTTTTAGATTTAATGTGGGAGCCCCAAGTTAATCGTTTGTCGAGTGTGACACCAAGATATTTGACTTCCGAGGATACGTCTGAATGTTAACGGAATTTTTAATTTAACGTGAAATATACTATTAAAGTGCAACTTAATAGGTACACTACCAGACAGTGTGGTGTTTGTACAGTGTGCTCATCAGCACCGGTTCTTCAGTCTACACTCGTTCAGGCGATTCTGTTTGCTGGGCGATAAACCGTCGAGTAAAAATAGCCACCACCCCCCTACGGAGACGGACTTCTGTCAGGTAAGCCTTCCCTAAGAGGAGACAGTGGTGTTGCGACACTGTTTCCCGAAAATATATTTAACAGTTATAAATTACCAATACCAGTAAATCCTCATTAAAAACTAAAAAAATATTTTATAAAAAAAGTTTTAGGTACCTAGTTTTTAATTTCTTTGAAAGCTGTAGAAAATATGCCATTTTTGATTTTTGTGATATTTTTCTACACTAGAACGATTTTCTTAAGTAGGAACTTATTGATTAACAATCATACCTATGCTTGTTGCCTATTGATTTTGTGGCGAGTCAAATATATCGACGGATTTTTAACACATTAATATATTATAATATTTTTTTTTTAAGGGGGGGGGGGGTAAAGTTAATTCGTGCAAAAAACGGTGAATTTTTGTGAATTTTTTTTGACGACACAGTTAAAATCTATTTATTAAAACTAATGGTATAACATTCGAAGAATATTGTGTAATATTTTCATATTACGTCTCGGAAAAAAGTAGAATTGCGGTGTCCCTCATAACTCGATGCTGGATCATCCGAAATTAAAAAAATCAAGTTCTTTCGTTAGATAATTGCTTGCCCCAGATAACGCCGGGAGGGTTTTTTGAAATTTCAATTTTTCACTTTTTGGGAACACTTTGAAGGGAAAAACGCGATTTTTGCGAAAAAATCGGCTAATTTGTTATTGTAAAATAAGAGATATTAACAAATTTGAAAAAATATCTCCAGCGTTACCTCGTACGTTATGTACACAAATAGTGTTCAAAATTTCAAAAGGATCGGTGTAGTAATT